GGAGCTCCTCGGCGCGCTGCTCTCAGTCCTGCCCCAGCGCTGCCTTGCTTTGGCACTCGCCGGCTTGGCCTCTTGTCGAGCCATTGCCCCATTCTCTACATCTGCCTTCAGTGTGTTATGTTCTCATGTACCCTAGGGGGTCCTCTATCATCTTTCCAGCAGCTGCCACCTCTGGTTTTCTGAACGATGCCCCCAGGGCCCCATCTGTTCAGCACCCTCTGCTTTGCCTCCTAGCTCCCCTTCCTGGGTTGCAGTCATGGGTCTGTGTGATTGGTTATTCAGGATCTGACTCTCATGACACTAGAAGGGGCAGGAGCTTGCTAGGACTAGGCCCTACTGTGTTCTTAGCACAGACCACCTGCTCAGCAAATAGTGGTTGAATGACAGCCTAGTCAAAAGAAGAAAACAGGCTGGGCACAGTGGCTCACGCCTCTAATTCTGGATCACCTGAGGTCAGGAGTTCGAGACCAGCCTGGCCAACATGGCAAAATCCTGTCTCTCCTAAAAATACAAAAATTAGCTGGGCCTGATGATGGGTGATTGTAATCCCAGCTACTCGGGAGGGTGAGGCCAGATAATTGCTTCAACCCGGGAGGCAGAGGTTGCAGTGAGCTGATGCCATTGCACTCCAGCCTGGGCAACAAGAGTGAAATTCCATCTCAACAACAACAACAAAAAGGAAAACAAAGATACAGGTATTAGAGTGAGAAAAGGAAGGTGGCTTATACCATAAAGCCGTGGGGAAGTATATTCCCCACCCCCAATGCCGGGAGAACGAACTGTCACATCAAATCCATTGGTGTTCAGAAAGATTCCGGGGGGCAGTCTAGAGAGGGGCTGATTCTGAAAGGGAGAGCATGTGGCTTCAAACACAGGAACATGAACAGCTGCCCCCTCTTGGACCTTGGACTTGCATGTAGCCCCCAGGTGTGCAGTGTGTGTCCAAGGATGTTTCACTGAGGCCAGGCTCATTCTCAGCTTTATGTCTGTAAATGGTAATATACATTCTTGTATGTTTACCATAACACCCAGTGTTTTTATTCAGTGATTTTCCTTGAGTTTGTCTAAGAAAGTACAGCACCTAATGTTTGAGGTAATTAATAATTCTGTTAATTGGTGAAGAGAAGAGAAGGGTAGTCTCAGTTTTGATAGATAACATCTTATTCACAAATGGTTTTAAGTAGTTTAAACCTTTGTCTCAGAAGTTTAAACCTTTCTCACAGAAATTTAGTGGGTTTTCAAAAATCTTAGCCTGGCTGGGTGTGATGGCTCACGCCTATAATCCCAGCACTTTGGGAGGTTGAGGCAGGTGGATCACTTGAGGTCAGGAGTTCAAGACCAGCCTGGCCAACATGGTGAAACCCCATCTCTCCTAAAAACACAAAAAATTAGCCAGGCGATGTGGCGGGCCCCTGTAATCCCAGGTACTCGGGAGGCTGAAGCAGGTGAATCACTTAAACCGAGGAGGCGGAGGTTGCAGTCAGCCAAGATCACTCCAGCATTGGACAAATATTTATCTCCAGCTCCAGGCCATGTTTTTTTTGGGAGGTTGCATCTAAAACCATTTATATTCCTCTCCCTGGTGTTGTAGGTTCATTTTGTTGGCTTGTGATGGGCTCTTCAAGGTCTTTACCCCAGAAGAAGCCGTGAACTTCATCTTGTCCTGTCTTGAGGTGAGGAATCTCACACGGGAGTGGTGGTTGTTCCAAATGTGTCTTAGTTTTTGGAGAAGTAGAAGTCCTGAGACCCCATGTCCTCCCATTGTGGGGCAGCCCTTCTGTGAACTCTGCCCACTGCGCTGGTCAGTTTGTCCTGCCAGCACTGATGGGAGGCCAGAGCAGCTCCTCTTCTTGGCAGTAATGTCTCTGGAAAGTGGCAGAGTGCAGGGTCACCCCATTCACTCATTCCCTTTCTCCTCTGGTAGGATGAGAAGATCCAGACCCGGGAAGGGAAGTCTGCGGTCGACGCTCGCTACGAAGCAGCCTGCAACAGGCTGGCCAACAAGGCGGTGCAGCGGGGCTCGGCTGACAATGTCACCGTGATGGTGGTACGGATAGGGCACTGAGGGGTGGTGCACGGCCAGGAGCACCCATCGTATTGACTTAAAAGGTTCATTTTGTGTGTGTGCACATTGTGTGTTTTGTGTACTCCTGTGGGACTCCCATGGTTGTAAATAAAGGTTTCTGGTTTTTTTTTTTTTTTTCCTAGTCTTTTGAGTAATTATACTGTGAGCACCTCTTGACCCTTCAGAGATGGTGTTTGCTTTTGAATATGCCGCCTTTCCTTGTTAAAACCATTATAGGCATGTTGGACTGGCTCGTGGTGACCTGCAAGCTGCTTGTTGTGTGAGGTTTTGTAATTCACAGGTATTTTGCTGTGCTTTCACCCTCACGGTGACCCTGGTGGCAGAAGTGGCATGTTGCAGTGAAGAGACGGTGGGGATGACTGGTTAGAGACGAGGCTAGGACCAGACCAGGGCTTTTGAAACCCTGTAGCTCTTTTCAGTTTTCCATACAGAAATACTGTTGCAAAATGTTGCATAGCATGAGCTCAGGCTTAGCCAGGAATAGACTGGTATACAAGGTTATTTGTGCATCAGACCCTCTAGAAACAGTCCAGAATTCACGCTTCTGATTCTATTTGTGAGAGCTGCAGTCTGGTGGAAGGAGTCTGTGGAGGACTAGGTTCGGTTCAGTAGCTTCCATCTGGGCCCCCAGGGTGCAGGTGTGCACCTTCCTATGGGGATAGACAGCCTGCTGCCCAGCATGGCTTGGGAATTCTACTTCCCACATGAGGTAGTGTGGGCAGTGGGCCCTGTGCTGGACTGAGCTTCGTTTTTGCAGTAACACCTCAGAGGGGGACCCTTCTGTGAAAGATGTTAAAAGCGTGAAGAGAGTGATGAATAAGCAGCTCAGAAGAATAAGCTTTAAAATTCTTCTCAAGCACTTGTTTATATAGAAAACATGTCATTATGACTGTTAAGTAGTTTTTAGTAAAGCAGCTTTCAGATCCTTTTGTGTAAATGTTTGGCTCTGGATGATGTAAGATTCTAAAAATTTGCCTTTTCAGAATCTGTTTTGTAACGTTCCCTGGCCCCCACCCAACACACACATATGGTTTTATCACCCAGTTGATTCAGTGAGTGGAACTGGTATCCATGCTGTAAGGACCTCATTGGTAAATGCTTCATGGAAACCTTAGATGACTCGTGGGGGGTCTGTTGTGTGAAAGCCGTAAGTAAAAACTGAAGTGTTGGTGCTGCCCCTTCCCCAGGGAGTTTTAAGATCCAGGTAAGTATCCATTTCAGTTTGAGGACTGGGACATTGTACGGTGTGGCATCATTGAAGAAAAGAGCCCTGGCACCCCAGCAAACCAGGTATTTGCACAATGATGTCTATGACTCATCCATCCCTATGTCTCACTGTCCCCAAGAGGCTGGACACTGGCTTTGCGGGAAGGTTCACTCCCAGCCTTCAGGGGAGTCCCTCCCACCTACAGGCTGGAAGGCATCTCCACCTCACCTTCCATGTTCCTCCTTGCTGAACCTTAGTGAACCTGGGTTAAAGGGTGGATTCTGGACCGTAAGGCCTGCCGTTTGTTTTGTGACGTCACACAGTTCTTAAGTACTTGAGCCATCCCACAGTCATTATTAGACAATAAATACTTTAATTGCTGCAGAACACACTGAAAAAATGAAAGATGTAGAATGTGGCTTTTTCAAGAGTAGAAGATACATTCTCTAAAATAGCTGTGCCCAGTGGATACAAAGTAAAATCTAGATAAGGGTGTGGCCACATCACCCCCTTATCAAAGTGCACGGGACGCAGTACCCAGGCAAGCCCAGTACTTCCAGGTAGGGTGGGTATGAGTCCTACTGAGAATCGCGCCAGGCCTGCCCCAGGGCAGAGTGGTTGGTTTTTGTATATTACTGTGCTTGGGGATGGAGATGCTTGATTTGGAGTTGGGGTTTGGAAGCTGGGCTCCTGGGGATCATTCAGGTCTGGCAGTGGCCACCTCAGCTGGAGGCCAGCTAGAAGGTGAAGGTGATGACCATTGCTCCCTCCTCTCCCAGGCCTGAGCACCCTGCCAGACCAGCTTGGCTCCCAGGAGGGCGTGAGGTACCAGGTCCCTGGTAGCCTTTTGTGTGGGGAGGCGGCACGTTAACCCTTCCTCAGCAGGTAAAAGGCCCTGGAGGTCGCTGCCTGCTCTGGGACAGTCCTGCTCTTTGGAGAAAATGTGGGAGGCTACATTTGAGGAGGCTCACAGCCTGTGTCTCCTCATGAGAGCTGCCCTCCCCATCCCCCATCACTGCCACAGGAGCACAGACTTGGGACCAGCCCTCCCGAGACCACCCTTTCTCGAGTGTCTGTCTCTCTGTCTCTCTCTCTGTCTCTTTCTTTTTCTCTCTCTCTCTCTCTGTCTACCACTTGTCCAGTCTCAGAGCCGCATCACCACCCAAGTGGTAAAGATGCTTGGAAGGCTCACCCCAGAGCCGCTGGACCCGACCAGGCCCTGGCATCCCTTCACGACACCTGCTTCAGCTGTTCGGCTGATGGGTCAGCAGGCCCAGATGTCTCTAATCTATAAAGACATTCTAGATCTTTCCTCTGGTGGGTAGATCCTACCAGTGAGTCAGCACCTCAGAGGGGAGGGAAAGGGATCTCATCCGCCTCTGGAGAGGACAGAAGGGGGCCTGGGCTGCGAAAAGACTTGCAGAGGAGGGGAAGAGCGGAGCTCCCGTTTGGAGAGGCCTTCTGAGGTGAATCTGTGAGTTAATCTTGCATAATTAGAACTGGGACCTGCTCCTGAAAATTGGGTCCAGACTCACTGTTCCCCAGTGGACCCTGTCCAGTGTCCCTCTGGCCCAGGCTAAGCAGTGCTCAGCTCCACTGGCAGGTAGAACATGTCTAGAGGAAGGGCAGGGAAGACCAAGGAGCCCAGATGGAGACCAGTGAGGTGGTGGGTGACCCTGTCCCTTCTGAGCAGTAACATGCAGCACGCTTCCCTGTGGCGCCCCCTCAGCCCTGCACCAGTGTATCCTCTTCCAGGCAGGGACCCTGGCCAGTGCGCTCGGCACTCTGAGAACATGAAGAGAGGTGGAATAGCTGGGGCTGGGCTGCAGGAAAGACGCAGAGGCCATCTGGGCAGGTGCTGAGCAGGCCAGGAAAGAGCCAGTCTGCAGCTGGGGACTAGCAGGTGCCCCAGGCACACCTACCGTTTCCTGGTTAACAGTCCAACAGGGCTTCCCCTTTTAAAAGATGGTGTTCTGAATCACTCCCGGCTCTGGGACCACCTCCGCAGGCCTGCCTCTAGTGGCTCTGTGGGCTGAATTGCAGCAGCCAGTGTGGGGGAAGTTCCAGGTGGGCCTCCTGCACGCGGCCACTGCCACTTGACACTGTCCACACAGTCTAGACCTCTGTTCCATTTGCCCGTGAGAGGAAAGGGCTGTGGTGCCGCTCACACGCCCAGGAGGATAGCGCTGAAGTGGGAGCCGCTGCGCACTGTGAGGGAGGAGCCGCTGGCGTTGTCCAGGAAGACAGAGGCCCACTGCCCCATCTGCAAGGAGGGCGCCTTTAAGGCACTGGGCCACCCCAACAGCCCGCATAGGCAACCCAGGTGCCAGCCAGCCACACTCCTGCCCACTCAGCCCTGAATGTGAGAAGGGCCCAGGCCAAGAGAAGCATGTGGCTGCCAAGGCCACAGCAGGGGTTCACGTCGCCTGGGCCCCACCCAGCACCTCTCACTCCTGCTTTCCCCACAGTGAGCCCGTACTCAGGGCCAGAATGAGATTCAAGAGTCCAACAGGTTTCTCAGCTGCAGGGCTTCTCAAGAGCCTATAAGGCTCCAAGTCAGGTGGGAGGGTGGCCCCTTCCCCCCAGGCCTGGCCCTGTGGTCATTTGGCAGAGCCTTCCATGAAACCAGCACTCTGGCCCGGTTGCTCCAGCTGTGGTCCATGCACCAGCAGTGTCACATGCCCTGCAAACTCCCAGAAATGCATAATCCAGGGTCTACCCAGACTGCCTCAGGATCTGCATCTTAAGATCCAGGTGGTAGCCCGGTGCAGCAGCTCATGCCTGTAATCCCAGCACTTTGGGAGGCCAAGGCAGGGGGATCACAAGGTCAGGAGATAGAGACCATCCTGGCTAACGTGGTAAAACCTGTTTCTACTAAAAATACAAAAATTGGCTGGGCCTAGTGGCACGTGCCTGTAGTCCCAACTACTCAGGAGGCTGAGGCAGGAGAATCGCTTGAATCTGGGAGGCAGAGGTTAGAGTGAGCTGAGATCGCGCCACTGTACTCCAGCCTAGGTGAAGAGACGGTCTCAAAAAAAAAAAAAAAAAAACAAATCCAGGTGGTGCACAGACCATCTGGTGTTCACCAAGCATGCTGTGTGGCACCCACACGGACCTCTAATGCTCTGACAACCACAGACTGGAACCGATGCCCTGGCCTCCATTTCTGGCTCTGCTGTGTGAGTTTGGGCAAACTAGGTGAGTAGCACTACCTTCCCCAGAGCTCTGGGAGAATTCAGGAGCAGCTGTTAGTCTACACACCTGCACTCAATTTTTTTCTTTGTTAATAAATTCCACCTTTATGTCAGTTTCTCTACCACTTGCCAAAATTCCCACAGTGCCAGAAAGACATGATCGCTTAGGATAATTTTAGTAGGAAAATAACATCTCTGGCTTCCCACAGTCATGGGACCCAGGGCGTCAGCCTGGGCAGAGCACTCTCCTCTATTCCCACCCTCCACCGGTCCCTCAAACAGGCCTGTGGTGGCCGGAAGTACTAGGCCTCTATGAGGTGCTTGGGAAGTCTGAATATTGGAGTGCAGAGCAGAGCAGCTGCTCAAGTGGGCGGGCGCCCTCAGGGAAGGGCTGTTAGGAGGAAGGAGATCAGGACTTGAAGCCTGGGTGTGCCCAGACCAAGGTGGGTGCTTGGCATGTCCTGGACCCTCTCCTAGGCCTGAAGTCCGAGGGTGCTGCACCTGGTGATCCTGAGCACCTAACAGCACCCTTCTGTACCCAGCCACCTATGGCCATGCACAGGTGGTGCCCCTCCATGCCCAAGCCTGCCCACTTACCTGCAGGTACAGGACACCATTCACGGAGATGGTGAAGAGCTCACTGCTGCCCTCCAGGCCCATGACAGCCTCCAGGGAGCTGGGGCCAAAACAGAAAGGGTCAGTCAGCCTGCCCCAGGAGACACCAACTTCACCCGCAACACAGTCCTGCCAGCAGCCAACACATGCCCAGCACAGTGCCTGGCCTTGGCCCAGCCTTCCAGGGGAGGTGGTATCTGAACTGAGTCCCAAGAGGAGGGTGGAGACAGGGCCAGCGGCGCCTGCAGTATTGGGAAAGGCCAGGCCAGAGCCCAGCAAGGGGCAGCAGAGCCCTGGCTCAGATGGGAAACAGGACCCAGAAGTGGAGGTGTGGTGGTAGGAGATGCTAAAAGTTGGTTGAGGCCAACATACTCTGGGGGCTCAAAGCCAGACTAAGCAGTTTGGACTTGATGTATTCGTTCCCATCCTCTCCAGCTATCTGCAGAGCATCTGCACTGTTCCTGGGTGAGGGGTGCGAGGGCGACTGAGGAGGGGCATCCAGAAAGCTGTCAGGAGGGGCCACTTGGAGTAATACTGGTGCTTGGGGCCCCAGAATGAAAGTCCTCAAGGTGGGAAGCAGGTGGGAGGTTGGGAGGAGCTGGGCCTCCTAGGACCTGGGAGGTGAAGGTCTGGGGAGAGAGTTTCACTCTGTCATGGAGGCGGGAGCACAATGGCACGGTCTCGGCTCACTGCTACCTCCACCTCCAAGGTTCAAGTGATTCTCCTGCCTCAACCTCCAGAGTAGCTGGGATTACAGGTGCACCACACTCAGCTAATTGTTGTATTTTAAATAGAGACGGGTTTCACCACGTTGGCCAGGCTGGCCTGTAACTCCTGGAAAAGGTCATTTTTAACAGCTCCTGCTTGCTGTGAAGAGAAGGCCCGATTGGGGGAAGAAGTAAATGGGGAGACCAGGAAGGAGGTGTGTGGAGTCAACCAGGCCATGGTGGGGTGGGAACGGGCAGAAGCCTGTTTAAACAGGATGGTGCCTGTTTAACAGCCACGAGCTTGTGGAGGCCGAGTACACGTGGGTGCGGGGTCCAGGCCGGGGCTCACTCACGCATTGCGCTGGCACTGGGACTGGATGCAGATGAGCAGGCGCAGGCGGTCCCGGGGGCGCAGCGGCCCCCTCCTCGGCGGCTCCCCGAGCGCTGCGGGGCAGAGTGGGGTGTGATCACGCCGGAGGGCGGCAAGGAAGGGGGAGCGGCAGGGCGGGGGGGTCCCTCCACGACCCGGGGCTCACCTACGTGCAGCGTGGCGGCAAGCGCGTAGAAGCCAGTCACGGGCGCCCTGTACTGGCCACTGGTCAGGTTCAGGCCAGGGCCGCGGTGGAAGGCACCCTCGGCGTCAGGCTGTGGGGGGCACGAACAGTCACCCCGGCTCCCGCCTGGCCGGCTCCACCCGCCTCCCGCGCGCCTGCACTCACCAGGTAGTAGGCACCAAGCTCGTGCAGCGCACGCCGCTCCACCGACACGTCCTGGCGCAGGCGGCAGTGGAAGGCGGCCTCCACGCGCGGCGGCCCCGGGGCCCGGGACGCAGCCAGCAGCGCCAGCACAACCTCCGCCACGTCATCGTCATCCTCCCTGGCAGTGGCCGAGACCGGGGCGAGGCTCGCGGCGACTGGCCCGGCGGGGCCGCGCGTGCAGGGTCTGGGCTCCGCGCGCTCCCGCTGCCGTACCGCGCCTGGCACAGAGTGAGCTGTGGCCGCGCACTGGGCACCCCTCTCCCGCTCGCTGTGTGGGTCCAGCCCCGAGTGACGGGCGCAAACGGGTGGGGTGGGGCGAGGGCGAGGGCAAGGGCGAATCCACCTCAAGCCTTTGCTTCCTGACCCCGCAGTGGCTCCCGTTTCCCTCACGCTTTGAGAAGCTCGGGCAGAAGTGCTCCAGCGTCCTTGGCCTCCGGCCTCCCCTCTACCCCCCCCCCCCACATTTTTCAAAGCAGCTGGGGGCAAAATAAGCGATAGCAACTTCACTGGAAGTTGCAAAGAGGTTCTTCAGTGCAGGTGCTATATTTAAACCAACAGGACATTGAACTGAAGGGAAAACCGGCTCAATTCTAATGACTAACGTGAGCCGCGCTCTCCAGCGGGCTTTAGTGCGGACTCCACAGCTGGGCTCAGCTCTGCCTCCTCCAGCACAGGCTGCCCCAGCCCGCGCCAGTGGTGACTGTGGGTGCCAGGCTGAGCTCCACCGGGTACTGCCCCATATACTAGCCTCTGCCTTTCGCTGGGCTCCCGACTCCCAGGCAGGGCAGGGGCGCTGGTCCCTGAGCACGAAGTCCACCTTCCTCTGTGGAGCCTCCTCTGGCCATGCCCCCCAATCCCCAGACCCCCCTCAGCCCCGACCATTGGCAGACCTGGGCCAGCTCCACCGTTCTGGAGTTCAGCCCGGAGCAGGTGCCTCCTTGGGTGTCTGCTGAAGTGCCGAGGTTGGCCCCATTGGCTCTTCGGGACACCCTCCCCAGGCCCTGCTCACAGGGGTGTGTGGGTGCCTGAACCGGGGCACACCCCTACCTTTCAGCAGCAGCTGGAACTCCTTCAGCAGCGCCTCGGGTGGGATGGTGGGGCCTGGGGGGCCCTGGGGACCGGGAGGCCCGGGGGGCCCTGGCAAGCCGAACTGAAAGGGAACCTTGGCCGTGAGGACACGTGAGGAGCAGGCTGGGACCCCCGGCATCTCCTGTGCCAGCTCTGGCCACTAAGAGGCAGGCAAGAGAGCTCAGTGGGCTCCAACCTCAAACAGTGAGGGCTTCTCCTGGAGTGAGCACGAGGACCGTGTTGGAGGTGGGGGCCCTGGGGCCGGGGAGGGCTCTGCTCTGAGGGGGAAGCAGAGGGCTGAAGCCGCTCCTGTGGCCAGGCCTCCGGGAGGGAGGAAGAGTCCAGGCTGCTTTTGGGGACTTGCATCTCAGGGTCTGCACTGGGCCTGGCTCCACCATCAGCAAGTCCCCACTAGGCTGGGTTGGGACCCGAAACAGGAGCCAGTGAGCCCCCTTCAGGGAGGAGCTTAGGGCAGGGTCAGGAGGCTGGGGCAGAGGTTGGGAGGCCAGGCCATGGGGACAGCCCAGCCTGTGCACCTGCCTCATGTGCTCCAAGCTGGCCTCCCATGGTGCGGTCAGATCCCTGGCAGTGAGACTGGCCCCAGGGGACCGAGAAGCCCGCACCCCGTATGTGCCTTCTTGGGGCTAATAGGAGGCAGCTCCAGGACCAAGTGTGAAGTTTCTGCCCAGGCCAAGACCCAAGGCTGAGTGAGCGTGGGAGCCCCGCAGCCGCCAGGGCTCCATGCCCCTAGCCCCCGGGAGCCAGACACTCCTGCAGGCATGAGCAAGGCCTCACCCAGCCTCCCTGGCCAGGACGCAGAGGGAGGAGAAAAAAGGGAATCACCGAGTGCCTGGCATTCTAGGGGTGCGGGAAAAGGGCTGGGACCAGGCCCCTAACTCTGGGCTCCCCTTGGGACCGCCTGGGTTCTTCCTCTGTGTCTCTGTCCCTAGGCTGAGGTGTGAGGGGTGTGTCATTGGAAATGGTCAGGATGTAGTGGGAGTGAGTGAGGAGCGAGGAAACAGCTCCCCACGGCCTGGTGCTGACGGGATGCCGGCTCACCTTCAGCTTCTTGGCCTTGCCCCTGCTCCTCCTCTTGCCATTGACACCCTTGTCACTCTGCCTGACGAAAAGCATCCAGGCGTCCCGGGGGTCGACGCTGTGTGCACGTTCGTCCGTGGGCTCCTGGAACACAGCCAGCCCAGGAGGGCGCTTGGCCTCACCGGGCTCCCACCAAGCAGGTGGGACACTGCAGGTGTGGCCTTCTGCACTCTGGGACCCTGGTCCTTGTCACCTGGGGTGCCCTCAAAGGCAGCGCCTCAAAGGCAGCTCCCAGAGGGGTCCCCACCCCTCGCACCTTCTCCCCCGGCCCATGGAGGACTCCTAAACAGGCCTCACCATGGTCTGGACTTTGCTCTCATGGGAGAGGCAGACCGAGGATGCAAGGAGGGAAGATGGGGTGCAGGGCTCGGGTGCGGGGTGAACGCCCACACTGCCAGGCCTCCTTCCTCCAGATGAGCCGCAGTGACCACACGGTCCTCCAGGCACAAGGAGAATCCCACCACAGGGGCACCCACAGGTACTCCGGAAGAAGCAACTGTGATTATCAGGAAGCCCACCCACTAGCTAACCCTCCTCTGTCCATCCCCCACCGTCAGAAGTTCTAAGGAGACAAATTCAGCCCTCACGGCCGCCTCTGGTTCCAGTCCAGTGGGAGAGGGGACCAGGCGAGCTGTCGTGACACGAGCGAGGCCTCCGCATGGGACGTTCACTTCCTCAGCACTTCTGAGACACTGACTCAAGCAGGGACAGTAATGCTTCTGGAAGTCCCCATTCCTGTGTGTGCTGCATCCTGACTGATGCTGATGCTGATGCTGACACTCAGCGGGGTTCTGGGAAGAACCTTCCTGTGAGAGGCCTTGGGCCCACTGGGCTGTCTGGGCTGCAGGCAAGGCTGCAGCTGGGAAGGAAACCGGCCCAGGAGGGCTTATATGAGGTCATGGGCGCTGACTTGGGGAGCTGATGGGCAGACCCTGGGATTTGAGAGCTGACTATGCCCTTTTATCAGAGACGGAGCCAGCTGCCAAGTCACTGCCCTTGGTTCCTGGCTGCTCTGGGGGGACCCAGGGCCTTCTTTTGGGAGCTGGCTGACCAGGGCACAAGCCAGGGAGCTGTAGTGGGAAGATGAGGGCTGTGGTGCCAGAAGAGCGTGTGGCTGGACGGAGAGAGGGTCCAGGGTGCCCAGGGCCCTCAGCACCGCTCAGCGCCTCCACTGCGCCTTGCAGGGCCAACGGCACCACCTGCTGGCGGCTCTCCACCACCCCCACCCTCTTGACTTTACAGCCTCAGGGTGCCTCAGCGGAAACAGCTGCGAAGATTCAGCAGGCAGGCCAGGAGAGGTGCGCCCAGCTGACCCTCCCGCCCGCACCTGTAGCCTGTGGGTGGACTCTGACCCCCGCGTGGTTTAGGGGCAGAGCTGTAACAGACAGAACCATGTTAGCTGGGGTCCCAGGAGATGGCCCTGGCAGTGGAGGGCGGACATTGGGCAGCTGCCGGTGGTTCTGGCCATGAGCAGTCTCTCAGAAACAAGCCTTGGAGCCTGGGAGGACTTCTGGTGTCACCTTGTGCCCCCAAACAGGGTCCAAGGCCAAAACTCCACCTGGAAGCACCTGAGCCTGTCTGCCTCCTGCTGACCGTGCCCTGACATGGCTGCTTGCCTACCTGGGTGGTTTGGCCAACTGCAGGCGGAGGGGGGCCTTCAGTCCCTGGGAAGTGACTGAGGGTGGTGGGGCTGGGATAGAGAACTCTGGAGGACCCCAGGGCTGGCTACACCGTCACCCCCTCTAATAGATCCTTCCTGGCTCTCCCGTCTACTGCCCTGAGCATCTTCATAACAAACAGCACCTGTGCCCACCCACCTTCCCTGGAGCGGCTCTTCCTCCCCGACCCAAGGCCCGGCCCCACTGGGGCTCCTCTGAAGCCCTCCCCTCCCCAGGCCTGGGCCACACCTCCCTAACCTGACCACCCTCTGCGCAGCAGTCCAGGCTCCAAAACCCTGAAGCGGAGGGGGCAGGGCAGAGCTCCAGATCACCCCTTCCCGGCCAGAAGCCACTCGCCGCAAAGCCACAGCCATTCCCCACCCCGAACAGCACCCTGCCCCCACCCCCGCAGGCTTTTGTTTTTCAGAGAATTGCACCGCATCGATGGGGGGAGGTGGCAGTCATTTCTTACACTTTTTACGAGCGCGTTCTTCCCAATTTCCTCAAGTTATTTACACTTTACCTATTTCTCAATTTCCTTTCTGTCCCAAAAGAAAAGGGGTTTCCGCCGACCCTGGCAGAACCTTGCTTTAAGTAAAAGAACTACCCCAAAGCCAAGGTCAAGGCTGCCCCCGGCAGCGCCCCGCCGGGCCGAGGGCGGCGTCGACCAGGCCCTAAGTCTCGGCGGAGCCCCGAGCCCCGGAGTCGGGCGCCGCTGCCGCTCTCGGGTGAGCGCGGGCCCGGCCTCCCCGCCCGCCTCAGCCGCCCCGGGCCGGCGCTGGCGGGCTCGGGCTGGGTCCGGAGCGGACCCCGGCGTCTTACCGGCGGATGGGCGGCCAGCTCCGCGCGGTTCTCCCCGGGGCCCCGGGGCAGCTCGTTCCCCGGCGGCGGCTCCTCGCGGGCGCGACTCCTCGAGGGCGCCCCAGGCTCGGGGGAGCCCAGGCCCGCGGCGGCGGCCAGCAGGCCCGCGTAGAGCAGCAGCAGGCGGGCTCCGGCGGGGCGGCGGGCCGGGGCCATGCAGGCGGCGGGTCCCTCGTGGCTCCGAGCGCGGCGTCCCGGGCGTCCCGGGCTCCTCGCCTTATAACGCGCTTGAATCCCCCGCCTCGCCCGAGACCGCGCGCCCGCCCGCGCCCCCTCCCGGCTCCCGCGCGCGCTGCAGGGGGATGGGGGGGCGTGTCAGCGCTGGGCGGGGCGCGAGGCGGGGCGCGGGGAGCGGGCAGCAGGGACGGGGAGGGGTGTGCCCCTGCCGGGCGCTGACCCCGGTTCTGGGGTCCCTCCTTCGCGCTGTCCGGCGCTTCTGCTTCCTGGGGAGCGAGACGCCCCTTCTCCCGGTCCTGGACCCTCAGCCCGGGGAGCCTCCTCCCACCCGGCCCGAGGCATCCTCTCTTCCCTCTCCGTCACCCATGTCCTCTGCAGGGACCCCTGAGGTACCCCCTCCCCATTCTCCTGGCCGCGCCCCGCGAGGCCCAGGCCTCTGCGACACGAATAGAGCAAATCGAAGCCGGGAGACCTTCAGGGCCCCTTCTCCGCACCCCTTTCCCAGGCAGGAACTCCCCCTTCCGGGCCTTCTCTCCATAGCTGGGGGTGCTCTGAGCGCAGGGACTCACTGTTCTTCCACACTCCGGTGCACCTGCAGGAACCGAGGGGACGCCAAGAAACAACCCAGGACAGCTGCCCTGCCCTGATGGGGCGGACGGTGGCCTGGGCTGGGAGAACTGACCCCTGTTGTGCCCCTAACAAGGGTGTGGGGACAGACCAGACCAGAAGCCAGGCTTCCCGCCGCCCACCAGGGTCAGTGTCCCCAGAGGCAGATAGCCCCTGCAGGCCTCGGAGAAGGTGGCAGAGAGGCCTCTGGGCGCCCTCCCAGGAAAGAGCTAGACCCCAGCCTCAACCCACCCTTGGCTTTGTTATATCACACGCCCTTTTGCCTATCTGTCCCCCATGGGATGGTAAGCCAAGGAGGGTCGAATACCTGGCTTGCCTGCCCCAGCCCCGGAGGCACCTGCCCCTGGTGATACACAGGGCTTTTTGTTAAACAGCAGAAGGCTCTGCTAGAAATGCTCGCCCTATTCACATTCAGGGCGGCTGTTCACCTCTTTGGAGAAGAGGCCTCTGGGGAAGTGGAGCCCTCGCCCTGTCCTGGTTCACAGGATGTGGCAGCAGGCACTGAAAGGGGTAGGTGATGCCCCTCCCCAGGCTTGGGGGATGCGCCAAGGTCAGTCCTCAGATGCAAGCTGGCCTTTGTCACGTGCCTTTTCTGGCCACTCATGCGTTCCACCTGGCTGGCATCAGGCCTAGCAGGTGGGGAAACCAGGAAATACCTCGTACTTCAGGAAAAGCGTGGGATCAGAAGGTGATCATTCCCTGTGATCCACCTTTCTCATAGGATATGGGAATGGTGTAGAGTTGGGTGGGGTGGGTGTTTAAAGAAAAGCATACCCTGCCCCACATGAGAATCTTTCCCGCAGGGGTCGGCAAGTCCCACAGACTTACTCTATGAAGATGTCTTTGAATGACAGGTGAGGATGCTAGAGAGAAGCCCTGCCTTTAAAAGTCACAAATGGGTCCGCCTATAACCTCAGCACTTTGGGAGGTGGAGGTAGGTGGATCACTTGAGGGTCAGGAGTTCAAGACCAGCCTGATCAACATGGTGAAACCCCATCTCTACTAAAAATACAAAATTTAGCTAGGCATGGTGGCAGGTGCCTGTAATCCCAACTACTCAGGAGGCTGAAGCAGAATCGCTTGAAGCTGGGAGGCGGAGGTTGCAGTGAGCTGAGCTCGTGCCAGTGCACTCCAGCCTGGCACCTGGCAAAAGAGCAAGACTCTGTCTCAAAAAAAAAAAAAAAGCAAGTCTTTAGGAAGACATTTGAGAAATATGAGAAACACTGGCTGAGGTCATATGTGCCCAGCAAGATATCCAAACTGACTCCACCTGCGAATATTCTGCAGGTTTGTCACAATTAAGGACATTTGCTCCCAAATTCATGCATATAATGGGGATGTTTTAAAGCCCTCAAAGCACAAAGCGTTCCTCTGGTGGGTTTTCATGTCTAGTTCCATTGGAATGTCTATTAAGAAGCCTGATGTATGGAGCTTTGTCATGACATGTCTGAATGTGACATGCACCTTCAGTGTAATGTGTTAACATTTCGTTCGGTTTCACTTATTCAGAGGGGCCATGTCTGTGGCCCACAGCACCCACCCGGCATGGGATGCTCTCCTGTATTCTGCTGGCAGAACGGCTCCTGTCCCCAGAGTTGCAGCTGCGTGAATGGTACCTTCTTGCTTCTGGAAAAGCTCATCCACATCAGCACGTCATTCCATTTCCCACCAATTAGCCCAGAGAAGTAGGCAGCTTGGCCAGGACGCAGCCCATGGGCAGAGCTGGCATGGGGCTGGAGAGGCACTCCTGCCCACTAGACAGGTTACATCTCCATAGTCTTATGTTTTGCTCGTTAGGGTTCCCCCTATTCTAGTTGGTGTGAAATAAGAGCTCTGGGATGCGTTGGAGCATTACTGCAGAACGTGAGGCCCTGTCTTTTCCCTGTGGGCAGTGGGCATCCCACAGCCTGAATTCCCTTCAGGGCCCTGGCTGCCGCTATGGCTCAAGATGGAGGCTGTTTGGCCCCTCCCGAGCCCTGGGAAGGTGAGGCTCAGGCTCTGTCATTGCTGGCAACACTAAGGACATGCAGGGATGAGGTGTCCCGATTTGGGGAACATGACCCTTAAGATACTGGTGTGATGTCATTCCACTTCACAGTGGGGGGCCGAGCTTTCAGGCCAGCATTGAGGACAGGAGCTGTTGCCATGTGAAAAAGTTATTTTCCCAAACAATGAACAATCCTAGTGATGTCATAGGCCCCGCCAGAGGGCCCAAATCAAATCGGTTCTGGTGCCGGGGCAGCCTCCCGTAACGCTGTCACGAGGGGGCGGCACCGCCTGGGCTGGGGGCGGACAGCAGAGAGGCCGGGGGCTTCAGGTGGGGTCCCTGCATGGCCTGTGGTCACATTTCAAAGCGGCTTTCACTCAGAGGAAGGCGGAGCTTAGCAAAGAATCACACAGATCAAGGAGCACCAGAAATGGGGGCCTTCCCTGCAGAGGCAGCCCACGGGTCAGAAGTGGGGCCGGCATCGGGCGGGTCAGTGTGTCCCAGGGTGGAAGGGCTGAATGAGCGGCCACAGAATGGGGATCATTGGAGCAGGAGGCGCCTCCCCCACGCGCCTTCACGCCTGGCTGAAATCTAATCCTCATTCTTGGGCCCTCATGTCACGGCCTGGGCCTGGCTTCCCAGCAGCCTCATGCAGCTAAGCTGTTCCCACTCTCCTCTCTTCCTCCAGAGGAAGGACCTTTGCCGATGAAGTCATGGGAATAAAAGCTTCCTTTACCCCGAAAACAGTGGGAGCATGAAGTCAGCTTGTGTGGCCTCCCAGGGCCCAGGTGGGCAGCCTTCGCTGTTTACCGGGCCTTCAAGCAAGCCCACAGCGTCATCTAATTTGCAAATCATGTGATTATCCCCATTGCACAGATGAGGAAACTGAGGCTCAGATCTTGGGATTAGCCCAAGGTCATGGAGCCACCAAATGAAGCCACATCCAGGTCTGGCCCCTACAACTTGAGGTCAGTTGCTCTGGAGAACCCACAGATTGAATTCAGTTCAGTGAGCATTTGCACAGTTCCTGTGATGTGCCAGGTACCAGGCTGAGCCCTCGGAATCCGCTGCGGCCTCCTGCATGGGTGTGTAGGTGGTCTCAGGTCTCATGGCGGACAGTTCTTTCTCACTTCTGCCCAGAGGGTCTCTTGAGTTTTCTGCTAATTGTATACATGATTTTAATAATTAATTAAAAGAATCATCTTTAGCTCACCTCTCAGTTGAATGCAATGCCATTTTGGAAAGAATCACATTCTTAAATGTGACTGTGATCCAAATCGCCCTGGCTTCTTGAGGGATTCACGATGGCTTGTGGGGTCTGTTCCAAAGTGGACACTACCCCATGGAGATTCCTGCCCTAGTCCGCTTCACTCTCAGTGATAGCCACACGCCTGGCTGCGCTGCCATGTACCTGGTGCCGCAGAGCCCAGGAGAAGCAGCGGCACACACAGCACCAGCAGCTGCACTTCAGACCAAGCAGCTGGCACCGTGCTGGGCACGGGATGGAAGGCGAGAGACATAGCCCGGAGGTGCAGACATCTTACCTGTGTAAGTGGCGGGGCCCTCTCTCTTCTCAGGCCTCGACCCATTCTCCATCCGTGCACCTGCTTTCAACTGGATCAACTGATTGCCCAGCCAGCTGGCACAGTGGCCTGTATCCGTCTGTTTTCTTGCTACAAAGGAAAACCTGAGGCTGGGTAATTTATAAAGAAAAGAGATTTATTTGGCTCACAGTTCTGCAGGGTGTACCGGAAGCATGGCGCCAGCATCTGCTTCTGCTGAGGCTTCAGGAAGTTTCCCTTCTTGTTGCGGGGGAAGGGGAGCTGGTGTCACACAGTGAGGGAGTAAGGGAGAGCCCTCTGTGAACGCACCACCATTACTGCACCATACTATGCATGAGGGATCTGCCCCCATGATTGAGACGCCTCCCACCAGGCCCACCTCCAGCACCGGGGTGATTCGGAGGGGACACATCTCCAAACTATGTCATGGTATACACTGACTACTGAAAACTGTCAGGTGACCAGTCCATTTAATCACAGTCACACGAGGGTATCAGTGGCCTGATCCCAGCAACCACGGTCCCTGCCTGAACAGGGAAGATGCCAGGTAATAAAAGGGGCCTGTCTGGGAGGTGTTGGAAAACTCAGGTCTGGTGGAAGCGGCTGGAAGCATGCATAGGCCTGAGCTCAGCTGGGGACCCAGGGGAGCTGAGTTAGAGCTGGCAGTGCTGGGCCTGGCTGAGGGCCCTGTGTGCTCACTGAAGGCTAAGGAGCCTCAGTTTACCCAGCATCCTCTGTGGGAAAAACACACACCTACCTGGCCGACATGAGCACGTGGGGCGGGAGAGGTGGGTTTCACCCGCACACCCCTGTGGGCTTTGCACATGTTCCAAGACTATGCACTCGCCTTTCTAGAAGCCCGTATTGGCCTCACACCTTCTCACGAGTCCTTGCTTGCCTGGGATTTTGATGATGGGAGGGGATGCCTTGGTTGCCCCGTGATGTCCCTTGGTGAATGAGCGCCTCAGTGTCTCTCCGTGCAAAGCTCTCAAGTGGGTGACGAGTGCTGGACCTTCTGGCCACCTTCTCCGCCTGTTCTCTGTCCCTGAGTGGCCACTACGGCCTGTCAAGTGCCTCTCTTCCCTCTGGATCCTGGTTGGATTTGGCCTGTAGGAGGCACTGGTGGGAGACAGGGGACAGGCCAGAGGGAGAGGGCGGGGACTGGGCTCTGCCACCTCCTTCCAGCCCGGCCACAGGGGTGGTGGCTGCGCCCTCCTGCCAAGGCCCTCTGTCAGCAGCTCCCTGGAGTCTCTGCCTGCCCTTTCCCTTCCCCCAAGATAGAAGGGGTGGCGCTCCCCACTGCCGCTGTCCTGGGATGCCTCTCCAGCCGCTGCGCTCCCTTCACCCTGCCCACAGCACAGGGAGAGGCCATCAGGACTCTCCTCAGCCACTCACCTGAATGCCCAGCGGGCGCCTCTTTCCTCCTGGGGCCCTGCAGGGTACAGCAGCCCCCTGAATCAGGAGCCCAGATGATTGGGCAAGGTGCATTTTGGCACCTCAAAGCTGGGAGCCTGGCCCTGGAGAGGCTGGTGCCCTCCACCCGCAGCCGCCTGTATTCCCACAGGGTGTGCAGGGATGGACAGCGGGCCTTGCTCTGGCATGTGGCCCTTTTGGCTACTTTGTGATCAAAGTCAGCCTATTTTGACATTTTATGTCTTCAGTTTTATTTTTATTTAAAATATTTTTGCAGAAATAGTTTACATGGAGGCTTTGTTTTTAAACAGCCCTTTGGCTGACCTCCTTCCGTCACTGTTTAGAAAACATTTCGGATTTCCACATGGAAACAGAGCCCAGGGCCCCAGAAACGCTCACCCTTGCTTCATCCAACACACCTGCCACTGAAGGTCTCAGCTCCTGGCTCTTGTTCCTTTGGAAGCACCCAGAGGCCCCACCCTGTATGGCCCTCCAGGGTCAACTCACTTCTCCCAAAAGATTCTCCCTGGGTGCGGGGTCAACTCACTTCTCACTGCACCCAGCCCACTCCCTGTAATCCCGGCACTTTGGGAGGCCAAGGTGGGCAGATCACAAGGTCAGGAGTTTGAGACCAGCCTGGCCAACGTGGTGAAATCCCGTCTCTACTAAAAATACAAAATTAGCGGGGTGTGGTGGCGGGTGCCTGTAATCCCAGCTACCTGAGAGGCTGAGGCAGGAGAATCGCTTGAACCAGGGAGGCAGAGGCTGCAGTGAGCCGAGATCTCACCAATGAACTGCAACCTGGGTGACAAGAGCGAGACTCCGTCCTAAAAAGAAGGGGGGCGGGTGTGAGCGGTCCAGTCAGAGAGCAAAGTGGATCCCTACCTATGAAAGCTCGAGACCCGGGAGTTCCTATCCTCAGAACCCAAGGATGTCAGAGGCCACTCTGGTCCCTGGGGCCAGGGGCGGGGGGAGCGTTCAAGGAGGAACCCATGGGCTGGCGCTGGAGAGGAACCCTGGATCTGGCGGGAGATGGGAGCTGCCCAAGGCCTCCTCGGGACAGTGCCAGAGCCTGTGCCTGGCCGAGCCTGACTCCTGACTTCTAGCCCCATGTGTCAGGGTGGGGCCTGTGGCAGTGAGGACATGCCACTGGGCACCCAGGGACAGTCCTTCATCGTCTCCTTAGCTACAAAGGTGGGTGCCTCATTCAGGATGGGGGAGAAGCACTGGGAGCCTGAGCCAGCCAGAGTCGGGCTGCAGCTGGCAGGGGGCCCGTCAGAGGCTACCCCCACCCTCAGGAGGCTGCCACCAACGCACCCAAGAGTCGTCTCCTGGTGGAAAATTTCATTCTGATGAAAAGCCTTTGATCTGACACAGAGACAGAGGCCATCTCTTCCGAGAGCAGCCTCTCCTGCTCACCTCCCTGGGGCCCTCCGCCTTCCTCCCTCCTTCCTGGGGCCTCTGTGGGCGCTGCCCACTGGGTGCAAGAGTTGGGTGAGGGCCTCCTTTGTCCACAGCACCAACATGCAGAGGCTGTGTGGGGACCCAAAGCCCACGCAGCCAGCTCCGTGCGTGATGGACGCAGAGCTTGACGCCTAGAGAGGGAAGGCGGCCGGCGCGGTCACGCTGCTGTGAGCCAGGCAGAAGCAGGCCTGGTGCTGACCCCATCTCCGGGGCCTGCCCTCCCCGCAGCCTCAGCTTCCTGGACACTCTGTGTTCGCCCTACATTCATGTAACTGCTCCCGAAGCCCCCGCTGGGGCCCAGGGGCAGGAGCGGAGCGCGCGAGCTCTGGGAACGCTGGCCGGCCCCCACTCCTCTCTCGGAGGTCTCAGCAACCCCGGGGCCGCAGAGCTTCCTGTCCCTGTTATGCCGGCATCCAGCACTCAGGCCCTTGTCACTGCTCAGCTCGGAGTATGGTGGCGGCAGAGACCAAGGCTGTGACCTCCGGGCCGGGCCGTCTCATCACCCCTGGTGGCCCAAGCCCAGCCTGAGCCCTGGAAGGAACGGTATCTCCAAGTGGACGAATGAGCGGGAATGAAAGGGGACCGTTCCGCAGGGCGATGAGGGGCTGCTGTGGGGGCCCCTCCCCGGGGAGCCCGCCCTGGCTTAGTGCTCCTGGGCGGGGCCGAAGGGCTGCGTCCACTTGGACATGTCCAGGAAGACAGCGGAGGCCCCGTGGTAGAGCCAGAGCCGGGGCAGGGCGCCGTGGCGGGTCCAGGTGTCCCGAAGCGTGTCGTAGGCCTCCATCTCCACGTGGTAGTCGCCTTCCATGCCCTGCCAGCGGCCGCCCGTCACGTACAGCGCATCCCCCAGCGGCACCAGCGCGCCGTTCTCATGCAGGCTGTGCTGGGACTGCACCTGCGCACGGTCAGCGGGTTAGCGTCCTGCAGGCGGAGGCCGGAGAGCAGGGCTGAGGGTGCCCTCGGCGGGGTCGGGGAGCAGCAGAGACGACGGCCAGCCCCTGGCCCAGACCCGCTCCAGGGCACCAGAGCAGAGTCCCTGGGCAGCCCGCCCAGCCCCTCGAGCTTCCTCCGACTCTTCTTTTAGTGGGGAGGCCACTTTCCCTCTTGACCGTCACCCCTCGGGATGGCACGTCCGCCCCTGCAGTCAGAAGGGGCCCTGGGGCCTGAGCCCTGAGCTGCCTCCCTGGGCATCTGCCTAACTCGAGGCCTCCCTGAGGCTTCCCTGTCTCACAGGAGACGGGTGTGGCTCAGCCCCAGCCGACACCCGGGGAGAGCCTAGCCCACCATGGATGGGCCCCCTCGCCTCCCCCCGACACCCTCTGCTCAGTCTCTGGCCTTAGGGGTGCCCCTGAGAGGGGTTGTGGGGTGAGGGCCAGCAGCTTTCCAGAGGCTGGAGAGAGCTGTGGCTTCAGGAAGAGCCCGGGCGGGCGGGACGCGGGAGGTCTGTCTGTCTGCAGATGAAGACAGGGAAGAGAGAGGGACCCAGGCCCAGAGAGGGCAAGGCAGAGCCTTCCTGTGCTTGCCCTGAGCCTGGGACAATGGCCTGGGCTGGAGGAAGGCCTGGCTGTGGCCCAGCTGGGAGGGCACACGCTGGCCTGGCACGGCCCACCCTGCACCTGTCTCACCGCTGTAATGGGGCCCTTGGGTCAGCTGAGCGCTGATGCCAGGGGACAGCTGTGGGCAGCAGGATTGCAGAGGAACTGTTGTCACCAGGCTGGCAGCCTGGAGGGCGGCTGCAGGGAGTGCTACCTTCTCAGCCTGCAGGGACTTGGGGTAGGTGGGCAGGCCCAGAGCATCTGGCTTGGTGCCAAGACCCATGACCAACCTCCTGGGCACTGTCCCCCTCCACCACAGAGGCCGCCCAGAGGTCTACCTCTCAGTGACTGACGGTCAGAGAGGGGGGACATGGTGGGATGGTGCTGAGGACAACAGGGAAGCCACAGGGCTGGCTGCTCTCAGCTCACGATCAGCTCAGGACCCCCCCTGGCTTGGCCACCAGGGGCAGAGGGCGCACCCCGTCTTGTCCTTATAGCAGCCTCCAGCTGAACCTGGTTTTGCTCCCCGAGAAGGCGGACAGGCCACCCCGCTGTAGGAAGCTGGGTGTGCAAGGACAGAGCACCGGTGGCCAGCAACCCTGAGCCATGTCTCCCACTGTCACTGTCTCCCCTATCCTCAAGGGGACTTGGGTCAGGGCACTGTTGTCACCTCATAGCCTGGGGGTGATCTCAGTCTGTGTCACCCCCTTCATTGTGGGCCCTCTGTGGGAACCCCCTCCTCACTTCCCAAGCTGGCTCTCTATCAGGAGTCCCGGGCAGGGCTCACACGTGGTGGGGGGCCCACCTTCTGCCACAGGTTGGCCCCGGGGTCGTACACGTAGACCTTCTTGGTATTGTCCCCAATGAGGTAGAGCGCCCCGTGCAGCGCGGCACAGCGTGGCGAGGACAGGTACTTGGGCAGGAAGGGCGAGGCGATCACACTCCACGCATCTGCGGGGGACACAGGCGCCGGCCACCATCACCAGGGTGGCCATGGAGGGCTCCCCCACTCTGAGGGGCCCTGGGCTCAGTGCCTCTCTGAACCTCAATGAGCCCATCTGTGAAATGGGAATAGGTCCCTGCGGTGCAGCTGGAGGGACCCATGGCTGCCTCTCACCCAGCCTCGCTCTCTCCCTCTGGGGGCAGTGACCCCTCACAAGACTGCAGCATAGGTGAGGGGCTATGGAGGGTGCAGGGTCCTTCAGGACTCTCCCTGTGGGAGGGGGCGTTGGCCTGGCTACAGCCCCACCCACCACACCCTGCTGGGGGCCCTGGATCTCTACCTCCTCCCTGCCCAGCCCCTACCCCCGGGCCTGGTACCCACATGGGCCTTGCCTGGACCCTAGGCCCAGTTAGTCTCTTGAGGGGTCCTCACAGCCACGCCTCAGAATGGATCCTGCCACTATCACACTGTCCCCGCCACCATCACACTGTCCCCACCACCATCCACACTGTCCCCACCACCATCCACACTGTCCCCGCCACCATCACACTGTCCCCGCCACCATCCACACTGTCCCCACCACCATCACACTGTCGCCGCCACCATCACACTGTCCCCGCCACCATCTACACTGTCCCCGCCACCATCTACACTGTCCCCGCCACCATCCACACTGTCGCCGCCACCATCACACTGTCCCCGCCACCATCACACTGTCCCCGCCACCATCACACTGTCCCCGCCACCATCACACTGTCCCCGCCACCATCTACACTGTCCCCGCCACCATCTACACTGTCGCCGCCACCATCACACTGTCCCCGCCACCATCACACTGTCCCCGCCACCATCACACTGTCCCCGCCACCATCTACACTGTCCCCGCCACTATCCACACTGTCCCCGCCACCATCCACACTGTCGCCGCCACCATCACACTGTCCCCACCACCATCTACACTGTCCCCGCCACCATCACACTGTCCCCGCCACCATCCACACTGTCCCCGCCACCATCTACACTGTGCCCGCCACCATCACACTGTCCCCGCCACCATCACACTGTCCCCGCCACCATCTACACTGTCCCCGCCACCATCCACACTGTCCCCGCCACCATCACACTGTCCCCGCCACCATCACACTGTCCCCGCCACCATCCACACTGTCCCCGCCACCATCACACTGTCCCCGCCACCATCCACACTGTCCCCGCCACCATCACACTGTCCCCGCCACCATCACACTGTCCCCGCCACCATCTACACTGTCCCCGCCACCATCACACTGTCCCCGCCACCATCACACTGTCCCCGCCACCATCCACACTGTCCCCGCCACCATCACACTGTCCCCGCCACCATCACACTGTCCCCGCCACCATCACACTGTCCCCGCCACCATCCACACTGTCCCCGCCACCATCACACTGTCCCCGCCACCATCCACACTGTCCCTGCCACCATCACACTGTCCCCGCCACCATCCACACTGTCCCCGCCACCATCACACTTCCTGCCACCATCCACACTGTCCCCGCCATCACACTGTCCCCGCCACCACCCACACTGTCCCCGCCACCATCACACTGTCCCCGCCACCATCCACACTGTCCCCGCCACCATCACACTGTCCCCGCCACCATCACACTGTCCCCGCCATCACACTGTCCCCGCCACCATCACACTTCCTGCCACCATCCACACTGTCCCCGCCATCACACTGTCCCCGCCACCATCCACACTGTCCCCGCCACCATCACACTGTCCCCGCCACCATCCACACTGTCCCCGCCACCATCCACACTGTCGCCGCCACCATCACACTGTCCCCACCACCATCCACTGTCCCTACCACCATCTACACTGTCCCCGCCACCATCACACTGTCCCCGCCACCATCACACTGTCCCCGCCACCATCCACACTGTCCCCGACACCATCCACACTGTCCCCGCCACCATCACACTGTCCCCGCCATCACACTGTCCCCGCCACCATCACACTGTCCCCGCCATCACACTGTCCCCACCACCATCACACTCCCTGCCACCATCCACACTGTCCTCGCCATCACACTGTCCCCACCACCATCCACACTGTCCCCAACACCATCCACACTGTCCCCACCACCATCACACTGTCCCCACCATCTACACTGTCCCCGACATCATCCACACTGTCCCCGCCACCAACCACACTGTCCCCGCCACCATCACACTGTCCCCGCCACCATCACACTGTCCCCGCCACCATCACACTGTCCCCACCACCATCCACACTGTCCCCGCCACCATCCACACTGTCCCCACCACCATCACACTGTCCCCGCCACCATCTACACTGTCCCTGCCACCATCCACTGTCCCTACCACCATCTACACTGTCCCCGCCACCATCACACTGTCCCCGCCACCATCCACACTGTCCCCGCCATCACACTGTCCCCGCCACCATCACACTCCCTGCCACCATTCACACTGTCCCCGCCATCACACTGTCCCCACCACCATCCACACTGTCCCCGACACCATCCACACTGTCCCCACCACCATCACACTGTCCCCACCATCTACACTGTCCCCGACATCATCCACACTGTCCCCGCCACCAACCACACTGTCCCCGCCACCATCACACTGTCCCCGCCACCATCACACTGTCCCCACCACCATCCACACTGTCCCCGACACCATCCACACTGTCCCCACCACCATCACACTGTCCCCACCATCTACACTGTCCCCGACATCATCCACACTGTCCCCGCCACCAACCACACTGTCCCCGCCACCATCACACTGTCCCCGCCACCATCACACTGTCCCCGCCACCATCACACTGTCCCCCCCACCATCACACTGTCCCCGCTACCACCCACGCTGTCCCCGACACCATCCACACTGTCCCCGCCACCATCACACTGTCCCCACCACCATCTACACTGTCCCCACACCCACACTGCGGAATGGGTCCCACCGCCATCTACACTGTCCAGAGAGTGAAACAGGACCAGAGACCAGGGCCAGGGGTGTCCGGCTCAGAGTTCAGTGGGGCTGGGCCGGGTCTCAAACTCTGGCACAGAATCCAGAGCCCAAGATAGGCCTCGGGGCTTAGGAGGTTGGGGGTCACTGCTCCCAGCCCTCAAGGTCCTTTCAGGTAGAAGAGCAGCCAGGCAGCTGCCAGGCGCTGGGCTCAGGTCACTGGCACCTGCTGCTGCCCTAAGGCTGGGCAGGACAGACGTGCAGCTCGCCCCTGCGCTGGGACTCTGCAGAGGCCACGCAGTGGGTCCCCGACCCCTCAGGCCCCGGCCTTCCTCCAAGTCCCCTCCTCTTTGTGAGAGCCTGTGGCCACCTGCCCTCTCCACACGGGCGACCCTGTCCTCAGGAGCCCCACCCTTGACATGACTTCAAGGGGACTGTCGCCTGCTGGAGGGGCCTGTGGTCCCCTGTCCTCCGTCCCTGGGCCCCGCCCACCTGTGACAGGGCTGTAGCACTGCAGGGCCAGGGCGTTGTACTTGCAGGCGCTGGAGCCCACCAGGTAGAGCCGGCCCCGGCAGCCGGCGGCCGAGAAGTTGCTGACATATTTGAGGGCTGGGCTGACGGGCGTCCAGCTGTCCGTGTAGGGGTCGTAGCTCTCCACCTCCACCATGTCCAGGGTGGTGCCTGCGGGGCGAGGGCGGGGCGGGTCAGGGCTGGGAGGAGGTCGGGCCTGGAACTCAGGGACTAGGACTTTGTAAGGCAGCAGGGACCACCCTGGTGGGAGGTGGGGTGGGCTCCTCATTTCACAGATGGGGAAGCTGAGGCTCTGAGAGGCGCCAGCACCTCCTAAGCCCATGCCATCAGGAAGGGGTATGGGGGGTGGACACCCAGGGCCTAGAAATGCCCTGTTCTGCAACTTGAGCTGGGGCCGATGTCTGGAAAGCAGCTGGCAGGGAGCCCTCAGGAGGCCGCCCGCCCCCAGGCCCATGCTCTGAACTGGAACAGGGGACACGGCCCTGGGAGGACTGGTTATGAGCCCCTGGAGCTGTAGGCAGCTCCCTCCGAGTCCCACAGAGAGTCTGGGTGTGACAGTGATGGGGACCTCTGCTGGGGAGAATGGGCCCTGGCCTGGGCCCGTGTGAGCACCTGGGGACCTCACAAGCCCTGGGCTTGGGACCCCTTGGTGCTTTCTGGTCTCTGGTTGGGGACACGGTAGCCACTGAGAGAAAGGGGACAGCTGGGACAGGTGGGGCATTAGAAGTGGCCTTAAGGCCAGTTCGTCACCTGCAGAGCTTTGGGGCCACATGTCTTCCTCCCCTCCTTCCCGCCCTCCCCCTTCCTCTCTTTTCTTTCTCTGTCTTGCTTTCTTTTCCTTTTTGAGACTGGGTCTTGCTCTGTCGCCCAGGCTGGAGTGCAGTGGTGCACTTTGGCTGGCACATGACACCACGCCTGGCTATTTTTTTTTTAAAAAAAAATTTTATTGGCCGGGCACAGTGGCTCACTCCTGTAATCCCATCACTTTGGGAGGTTGAGGCGGGTTGATCACCTGGGGTCAGGAGTTCGATACCAGCCTGGCCGACAGGGTGAAACCCTGTCTTTACTAAAAATGCAAAAAATTAGCTGAGTGTGGTGGCGTGTACCTGTGGTCCTACCTACTCAGGAGGCTGAGGTGGGAAGATCGCTTGAGCCCAGCAGACGGAGGCTGCAGAGAGCTGAGATCGCACCACGGCACTCCAGCCTGGGTGACAGAGCAAGACTCTGTCTCAAAAATAAATAAATAAATTTAAAAAGGGAGACAGGGTCTCTAAGTTGCCCAGGCTGGTCTCAGACTCATAGGCTCAAGCAGTCCCCCAGCCTCGGCCTCCCAAGGTGCTGAGATTACAGGAGTGAGCTGCCACATTCTGTTTCTCGATGTTTCTTTAATCAGTGAAAGCTCCTGGGTGACTCCTTGCTGTCGCTGTGGGTGCTGGCAGATGGGCATGCCGGTCCCCACTGCAGCTCCTGCAGGAACCCCTCCTGGGGCTGACTTACTGCCCCTGCCGTCTCTGTCCCAGCACAGCAGAGGCACTGGGAGCTGGCCAGGGAGGACGCCTGGGCGTGGGTCTCGATGCCCTACCTGGTCAGGAGCCCTGGCCTGCAATTGGCCCACCCCACCAGACAGCGAGCCTGAGGGTGGCAGTGGGAGCGGCATCTCTGTGGTCTCGGAGGCCAGCATGGGGCTCTCTGTCCCTGTAGCTGCAGGAATGAGAGGCTAGAACCAGGCCCCGGGGAGGGCGGAGAGGAAGGCCTTACCACCGATGACGTAGACCTCCCCGTTGAGCGCCGCGCTGGCGTGGTTGGTGCGGGCCTTCAGCATAGGTGCCACGAGCTTCCAGGAGGCCTCCTTCAGCGGGAAGCACCAGGCCTGAGTGGTTGACCAGGTGTCTGTCTTGGTGCCCCGAGAGCCACCTGCCGGGAGAAGTTCTGTCTACATGTGTACCACCTGCCTGGGACACCAGGCCAGTGGGGTCTGGGTACCAATGTCTGGGGCCCTCCCCCCATGCCAGGCCGTGACTGCCAACATGGTGAGCCAGGGTGGAACCAGAGTAGTGCAGTGGAGCTGTGTGACTGCACAGGTCACTCCATCCCCCATGAACAAGGGGGACAAGATCAGTGGTTTCCAGCCCCTATCAGTGGAAGCTTGTCCCCTGCCAAATCGCACAAGGAACCCCAACTTCTGAGATAGGAAAGAGCAAAGTGACCCCTGAGTCACACGACTCCTTCTGGGGACCACCTGGTCAACCACCCAGGCCTGGGGCTTCCCGCCGAAGGAGGCCACCTAGAACCTCGTGGCACCCGTGCTGAAGGTCCACAGCAGCCACTCAGAGCCACACAGAGCCACACAGCACTCAGCGGGCAGATCTGGAGCCTCCACCGAAGGAGCTGTGTGGTGCAGGCGTTGGCCCATGCCAGCCTGTGCACAGCAACGGCTCCCAGCTCCCACAAGTGACCATGGATTTTAAATGTCCTTGTTTTCACGTGCAGGCAAGTCCTGGACAAGCTGTGACTAACCATCAGGGACCCACAGAATGTGGGGAGTTGGTTTCAGGGGGGCTGCACTGTGCCCAGTGCTTAGCTGGGCAGGGCATCCCCAGAAGGGCCCCTGAGCTGCCCACCTGTGACATAGATGGCGTTGTTCAGGGCTGCCAGGGAGAAACCCCACTTGTGGTAGTCAGGGAAGTCTGGAAGTGCCATCCACCTCTCTGGCAGGAGGAGAGAAGCAGAAGGGTCAGGCTGCGAAGCTTCCTGCTGGAGCCATCCCCACTCCCGCTTCCCGGGTGCCTTTCCATGCACCACTGCAGAAATGGCCCCTTCCCCCCAGGGCACAGGGGGTCGTAGGTCCTTTGGCTCCCCACCCCCCTCCGCAGAGCCTAGGACTCAGAGTAGACACGGGATAGCCCCCGGGAGGAGCAGCCAGGCTTTGGAGGCCGGGGCCTCACCTTGACCCTGCAGTTGACCGCACTGACCCCAAATGGCCCATTCGGCCCCTGGGTCTGGCCTTTCAGTCAGATGAGTGTGGGTTAAGTGGCCGGATCTGTGGGTGTCACTAGTGGGTGATGACACCAACAGCATACCTTCCCCTTCCCCTTTCTCCTTCCCTGTCTTCTGGGGCACAGGGGACTGGGCACAGGCTCTGCAGTGGGCAGGCGGGTCCAAATCCCAGCCGCTGTACCCCAGTCGTGTGTCTCTGGGCAAACCCCAGTTCCCTTGTAGAAAGGGGGTGACGCCTGCCTCCCGGGAGCTATGAGGGCTTCACAGAACTGCTCAGCTGATGACGGCTGTTAGGATTATTATTGCTATGGTTGTGGGGCAGGGCAACGTGCCCAAGTCAAGCCTGCCTCTTGGAGCTACAAGAGGTAAACTGAGGCAAAAGATGAGAAAATACTTTGGAAAATCAAAATAAGACAATAAATGTGGAAATGGTAAAGTCCTATAAATGGACATATTTTGGGTATTTGTGGAAGAGACCCAGGCCTTTGGATGTCCCCTAGGAAGACTGTTTACTGTTTATGACCATTTTGGGGAGATGTGGAATATTCCAGGCCTCCCTGGGAGCAGAGCCTGGCATGGTGGGCAGAGGCCGTGTCCCCGTGACTCACAGCTCTGTCATTCCAGGGTGGGGATTGCCCGGCCGTCAATAGGCCTTTCCTGCCAGCATCCCCACCTCCCGCCCAGGTCTGAGGGACAGCTGTTCCCTCCTGACGTCAGCCCCAAATCCCCTGTCAGCCCCTGACCCCAACAGCCGGCCTCGGGCTTCCTGGAGCCTGCCAGTTGCTGACGCCATGGGGATAGTTGGCGACCTACCAACCAGCGAGCCTGCATCAGCAGCCCCTGGGGCCAGTGCGGGGGGGCCCCATGCCCCCTTTCCTGCAAAATGGCAGACGTGGCCTCAGCGCCCACTTCAGGGCTCCCTGCAACTGTGTGAGGAAGAAGCAAGGAGCCCGTTTCACAGACGAGGAAACTCAGGCTCAGAGCAGTGAGGTCACCTGCTGGGGGGCTGGGACAGGAGCCCCATTTGGGCTGACCCAGAAGCTGAGCTCCCACTGTTCCAGCTGCCTGCACCCCTGCACCCCAACCCCGCTCTCCCCTTGGGGTCTTGATTCTCCTATCAGGTGCACCAAGCAGGGGGCATGGGGAGGGGCAGCCTGGCCGCCCACCCCACAGGGTTCAGTCTGGGCCGTGGAGCCCTGTGCACCAGCCCCAGGGCCTAAAAGGGACCAGAGTCCTGGGCTCTGGCTGCAGGGAGAGGGAACAGCAGTGACCCCAGCCTTCCTCCCCACTGGGGTGCCCAGGCGCCTCTGCAGCCCCCAGGTGAGGTCCTCTACACGCCTCACTTGCTCTACCCGAAACAAGGGCACAGCAGCTCCTGCCGGGACCGAGGGACAGCAGACGGGCCCGGGCATGAGAGGGGTACTTACTGGCCTTGCTGTTGTAGAAGGCAAAGTTCCCAAGGTGGGGGCTGAGCTCCTCGCCTGCCTCATCTTCCTCCAGCGCCCGCCCGCCCACCACCACCAGGACCTCCTCCAGCTTCTGCCGGAGTGGGGGTGGCGCCTGTGGGGTGGGAGGCCAGGGTCAGCGTAACAGCGACATCTCCCCATGCCCAGAGCCCCTGAGTGTCCTGGGCAGGCCTCAGCACGTGTGTGCATGTGTGTGCATGTGTGTGCGCGTGTTGCTGGGGATGACGTGTGCCCGAGTGCACGAGCTGGCCCTCCTCGCAGTCACTGCGGGCCTTTCGGGTCCACTCCTCAACTGCCTTCAGAACCCACCCCGCAGCAGGTCTGCAGCGCCACGCGTGAGCTTTTCCCTGCCCCCGCTCCCTGGGTGGCCTCTAGCAGGCAGCACAAGGGTGTCCTGGCTCAGTGGGGAACGCTGGCTGCCTTCGGAACGTCCAGTGAGCTCTGTCTAGGGCTCCCCCACAGTCACCCATCCTGGCCCCCCCAGGGACCCCCAGATCTCCCACTGCCAGCATTTAGAATACAAGGTGACTGCCTCCGGGCAAGGCTCTGAAGCCAGCTCCAGCAGGAGGCCGGGTGCTCTCTGACTGGCTGGCATCCAGTGGGGTCAGGGTTAGGGCTTTGCCCTCTCCTCACTCCACCCTAGGCCTGAGGACCATCAGCCCAAGCCACTCTTTGTTCCGGGACTTGCCTCCTTTAGAGGGCCCTGGAGCAAGGCCACTGAGCAGGGTGCCCGGCAGCTGACCGAGCAGCCACTCCCAGACCTGTCACTCCATCATGACCGGCCCTCCCTGCCAGGCCCACCGCCAGCACAAACAGGAAGTGGCACCCCGTAAAAGCTCGGGCGGACCGCCAGGCCTACCTGTGCCTCTTTTGCCTGTGCACAAGCTGTGCCGCCTTCCTGGATGGTTTCCCTTCTTTTCTTCCTTGCAATCTCCTATTCTTCCTCTAAGGCCCAGCTCAGATGCTGCCTCCTCCAGAGAGCCCTCCCTGACTGCCAGACCCTCTCAGAATGCATTCTGGGCATGTGTTTTGCCCTTCCACACTGCCTGAGATCTGTTTCCAGGTTTGTCCCACTGAGCTGCAGGCTCCTTTCAGACAGGGTCAGATCTCACCACTTCTACATCCCCTGCCGGCACCCAGGGTGTGGCACACAGAGGCACAATCCGAATTTGAGGGTGAATGCTGACATCCTCAGAGGGAACTGGCCCAAACAAGGAGCAGTGCAAGGCCAGAGTGCACCTTGGGGTGTCCACTCCTTACTCTGTCCCTACACAGGTGGGTGTTTGTCCTGCTTCCCAGGGATAGGGGCCTCCCAGCTGCTCACTCACCCCATCATGGCCCTGGGACAGGGCTGCCCGGCATGCCTCTGACTCCTGGATCAGGGGCTCTGTGGCCAGCAGTTGCTGCACACAGGGCCTGGGCACGGCGTCCAGGTGCACCAGGCTGAGCAGCTCGGGCAGGTGGGTAGCTCGGGCCTGCGGGTCATGGCGCACCCAGCGCAGCAGGGCCTCAAGCCGGCTTTGCTCTGGCTGCACCTGCAGCAGGTCGCTGGCCAGACAAGTGGCCAGCCGGTCTCGGGGAAGCTGAAGGAACTCGTCCTCACGTGCCACAGCCTCAAAGTTCTCTCGCAGGAAGGCCCAGGCCTTGGCAGCCACGCCCAGCAGCCCTTGCTGCTCCCCAAACTCACATATGCCCAGGCAGTTGGCAGCATCCAGCTGCTGCTGCAGGTAGCGGCCGCAGACCTTCTGCACGGAGGGGAAGTGCAGGCGTGCAGCGGTGCGTGTCAGCGCCTCCACGTTGCCCTGCGTGATGGTCAGCCGGCCCGTGTACACGAAGTCCACCAGTTGCCCCACCACAGCTGGCTCCACGTCCCGCAGCTCCACGCGCGCAGAGAAGCTCTCGGCAAAGTCACCCGCAAACATGGCGTGGAAGTAGGGGCTGCTGAGGGCCAGGAGGCCACGGTGGCATGGCAGTTCCCGGCCACCCACCAGCAGTGTCACGTCTGCCAGCTTAGGCTGAGAGCGCAGCCGCTGCAGGCCCTCCAGCATGTCCTGGGCATGTGAGGGCAGGTGGAAATCCAGGTCATCCACGTTCCGCACCATGATGCCGTGCCCACTCAAGGGAAGAGGTGCCTGGAGCCGCCTGAGCTCCTAAGAGAGAAGAAAGCAGAGTCAGTAAAGGGGGGACGGTCTCATCCACCTGAGCAACCTGTCCAGTCTGTCGATCAGCCCTTTCATCCCTTGATAAACACAGGCTGAGCACCGACCATGTGCCAATCACTTTACTGGCCATCTGCTTCAAGCCACTCCTGGAACCCTGCAAGGTAGGGCAGGTGGCATTCCCATTTGCAGTGAGGGAACTGAGGTTCAGAGAGGGTGGGAGACCTCCCCATGGCCAGGCATTCAGGGCAAGACAGGCTGGCAGGAGAACCCATGCCCTGGGCCTCTTCTGCAACCCTGGGCTACACTGAGCCCACCTCCTAGGGGCCCTGGAGGCACCCAAACACCCGGGAGGCGTCCTCTGTCCCAGATCCCACATTGCCGGTGAAGCCATTCAGGGGCCACAGCAGCTCCCATTCCCGTGGTGCTCCCAGGTGCCAGGCCACGTGCCAAGCATGCAAAGAAGCTCTCGGCAAAATCACCTGTGCATTCACCACTCAGCCCCACAGCAGTCCTGGAGGGTGGGTGTAATCACTGCCCCTTTTACAGCTGGGGAGACTGAGGCACAGAAGGTTTGAGTCACTTGCCCAAGGTCACACAGCTAGGAAGTGGTGGAGCTGGAGTTGGAACTCAGAGCCCCCTGCAGTCCACGTGGCCTGGTGGGGGCTGCTAAACAGAAATGGCCAACCAAAGGCAGACAGTGTTCTGGAGGGTTTCCCAACACCACACGCACATGGCTGAAGTCAGCAAGGCCGCTTCCAGGCTCATGTCATTACGTGCATGTGGCTTGTGTCTTCTGGTATCGCACCCTAAGACAACCATCCCTAGGAGAGATCGAAATCGATGCACAAGCCTTCATCTCGGTCACCCCAGGGCGAAAGGCTGCACGGCAGAGAGGCCGTTCGCCCGCTAGGGGGCGCCTCGCAGAGCCGTCCTGGGCAGGATTGGCGGCCGTGCCTCCACGGGGACAAATGCTTGGGAACGCCAGCGGCATGGGAATGACAAAGATCAGCTGGAGAACCAGGAGGCCAAGAGCCTGGCCGGGGCGGCCACGGTGCAGGTGCAGGTGGTGGGAGCTGGGCGCCTGGCCTCCCGAACCCGGTGCTGCCTCCTGACCCCAAAGCAGGGAAACTCCTGGGAGTGCGCCGGGCTTCGCTGACCAGCCCCAGCTCTTGCACACAGGGCGGCTCAGGTGGCCGGAGGCCCCGCTCCCCAGCAGCCTGGCCAGTACACGACGTACCCACACAACACGGCATGCACGGGGTCCTGCCTGGCCCCCCCAGGGGGGTGCTGGAGCTGGTGAGGGCGGCTCTGCCCTCCCTGGGCCTCGGGGAGATGAGCTGGGGCCTGATTAGGAGACGGGCTGTCCCTGGGCCACCGCCTGCAGGCCTCACATTCCTGTCATTGTTGTGCTGTCTTGGGCCAGCTGCTGCCCTGGCCAAGGCCGGCAGGTGTGAGTGCCCCCACCTTCCCTGGGGGCTCATGGGAGCCTGCCGACACCCCTGAGTCCTGCATGGGCCCGGGGCTTCCTGAGGGTCTCAGTGCCTCACCCTAGCCCCTGCCCAGCCCCAGAGTGAGGAAGCCCAGTGGGCAGGACAGCAAACGGCCTCAGTCCAGCCAAGCTGGCGACTGTGGCCAAGTGGTCCTGGCTGCCATTGAGGGGTGGCCTGGCCTCCCTCCCATCTCTCCCGCTGGGACAGAGGGAAACCTGTCTCCTGAGCCCCCACCCTGAGGAGCCTGGCTTGGCCACTGGCAGGGCTGGGGGTGTCTCCAAAGCACCCCGCTGTGATCCTGGCCTCCTGGGCCTAACCCACCCTCCCTACTGCTCTCTGCTGAGTCCCCCCCGCCCTCTCTGCTGTCCCCTATTCCACAGACCCCTGGATCCTACCTCTCAGCCTGGACCTCGAAGCTGAGAACACAGACCCGAGAGCAGGACTGCCTAGCCGGCAGCCAGGGAACACGGAGGCCTGCAGGGCGGGGCAGGGCTGGGCTGGTGGCCACGTGGGGACAGGAGGGTATTTTTAGCCTCTGTCTGCAGGGCAGGGGGAGGGTCAGGCAGTGAGGGCTGGGCGGGTGGGGGAAGGAGCGAGACACCAGCTCCTCGGTGACTGTCAGCTCAGAAAGCCCATTGAGGCCTTGGAGGGACCCGTGGCCTTGGACAGACTTCAGGAAGGGCTCCAGGACAAGGACGGGTGGAAGCTGTGGCGACTGGGCTGACTGGTGGGGGAGGGTGCAGCTTCCCCACCTGTTTCCTCATCTGCCAGGTGGGGACAGTGGAGCCTGTGGTGGGGGTCCGGGGTCCCAGAGAGCCTCAGCCCAGGGCCCCGACACTGACAGGTGCTGCCTTCACTGCTGATGCCGGCGGCACCTACGTGTCCTCTTGTTCTTCTGTCACAGGGAAAATTCGATTATCCGGAATAAGTGCACTTTGACCCGCAGAGGCTTTCCAAGCTTGGGGTCCGTGGTGGTGGTGCAGACACTTTGCCCAGAGGGGAGAAGGCACCCTCAGATTCGGGGAGATCCTGGGGCTCCTTCCCCTGCTACCCCATGGCCTTGGCCTTGGGGCTGCCCAGGACAGCTAAGAAACAGGGTCACCTAAAACTACATCAGCAGGCTCCCAGCCTCCCGTCCAGCACTCGGTTCGTGGAGGTCGAAGCGGGAGTGTCTCACACCTGGGGACCTGGCTCAGAACCACAGGCCCTGACCAAGGTCAGGTGGCTTGAGTTGGGGAACGAGGGCCCACGGGACACAGTGGTCAGAGCAGAGCTTCCTGGCTGAGGGGCTTCAGGTGCACAGGAGAGAAGTCCTCAGCCCTCTACCCATCCGCCACGTGGTCTGACCAGTATGACCATTTCCAGCTGTGCTGCGACCCGGAGGAGCTGGAGACCTGGAGGAGCTGAGGCTGTGGCCTCTTGATGCTGCTAGGAATTGTCCTAATGCTCTTACACACCAGAGAGACCCAGGTGGCCCCCAGGGAGACAATCGCACTCTTGGGAGAGTTCGGGAATTTCTCAAGGATGTTGAGGTGGCTGCGCTGACCTCCGGGGTCCTGGACACAGGGCATGTGTCCTGTGAGCATAGCAGCAGGCCTTGCTACCCGCTGAGGACTTGGTTGTGGCCTGGAAGCCACAGTCCCTGCTCCTGAGATGCACGCAGCCTATGGAGCAGAAGGTCACCACACGAGTTACTCCCAGGTCTGCCAGGTGCTCCCAGTGCTACCTTCCAGAGGTTCCGAGTCCATGCCTCCTCTACAGCCCAGCCTGGCCCCCTGCTCCTGCTCTTTCCCCTGCTCCTGTCACATACTGACCCGGGAGTTTGCCCCTGGCCTTGGGCATCAGACTCACATTGGGGTGGCAGGAAGATCCCAACTCTCGCTGTGTCCAGGACCACCATGGGACGGGCGCTGGAGTGTCGGGCTTCCCCACTGTCTCCCCTGTATGCAGACAGAACGTGCAGGGTTAATGCAGTCCCAGCTGGGGCTGGAGGGAATGAGGACAGGGGTTCTGATGACAGGCTGCTGTCACGGGGAACAGCACTGCTTGCCAAGTGTGGAGTCCTCACAGCCGCCGTCGTGGGGCCCAGAGCCCCAGCACCTCAGATGACAGGTCAGTTTGGGAAACTCGACACTGGGGGCACAAAACGGATCCTCATTGACAGATTGCTGCCGAGCGGTGCCGCTTTTAAAAATACACTGCTAGTTTCTTTATGAGGATAAAAATAACATAAGTTCCTTCTGGAAAACAGAAAAATAAAAAGCAGAAAACATCACCAGTAAAAGACCATTTGCCATTAATATGCTCCCAGCTCTTTCCTGTTGCCAAAATGAGCATCCCTGTGTGCGGGTCAGGGCCCTTTCTTCACATGTGGTTATATTGTGGGTGTTTCTGATGTGATCAGCACTTGAAGATAAGATTTTCAACCTGTAATCCCAGCACTTTGGGAGGCTGAGGCACATGGATCACCTGAGGTTAGGAGTTCGAGACCAGCCTGGCCAATGTAGTGAAACCCTCGTCTCCAAGAAAAATACAAAACTTAGCCAGGTACACGCCTATAAGTCTCAGCTACTAGGGAGGCTGAGACAGGAAAATCGCTTGAACCCAGGAGCCAGAGGTTGTAGCGAGCCAAGATCGCACCACTGCATTCCAGCCTGGGTGACAGAGCAAGACTCCGACTCAAAAAAAAAAAAAAAAAGCGATTTTCAATTTCATCTCAATAGGATGACATCACACTTTGTGAGGTTGGGAGTGATAACTGGTCACTCCTCCTGTTCATGGACGTTCAAACTGTTTTACACTTAGGACTATTATAATGAAGGTGGCATCACCTATGTGATTATTCTTTCAGAATAGATTCTGAGTGTGAAATCGCCAAGTTAAAATGTGTGAGGCTGGGCGCGGTAGCTCATGCCTGTAATCCCAGCACTTTGGGAGGCCAAGGCGGGTGGATCACTTGAGGTCAGGAGCTCGAGAGCAGCCTGGCCTGTCCAACATGGTAAAACCCTGTCTCTATTAAAAATACAAAAATTAGCTGGCCGTGGTGGTGTATCCCTGTAATCCCAGCTACCCGGGAGGCTGAGGCAGGAGAATCGCTTCAACCCGGGAGGTGGAGGTTTCGGTGAGCTGAGATCACGTCACTGCACTCCAGCCTGGGTGACAGAGCAAGACTCCATCTCCAAACAGAAAAAAATGTGTGAGTGAGGCCCAAGTCCGCACGTCAGGCTGCCCGCCCCTCGGGTGTTACCGCCCCGCACAGCACCTCTCACTCCGTCGGGGCGATCTGGGGCCTGGGTTCCCTCAGGCCGTCCTTGTTTGCCTGTCACCAGCGCTCTCAGCAGGTCGGCCGGCGCCTCCCTCCCTGCGAACCTGCCGCGGTGTGTTCGCTGCTCAGATTTCTTTGTTCTTGGGTCCAAACCACCTTGTTTGACGGCATCTGGCTCTGTAATGATGACATCTTCGGATCTGAGCTGGAAGACCCTCGTTGCTCTGCTATTTACATGTTTTTGTCTGCTGCATTGGTGATCTCGCACCGCGTAAGGAACTGCCCTGACATCCAAGGTCCTAGAACCGTGCAATGCGTCGTCTCCGCGCCTCCTCGGGAGCGCGTGCGTGTGGACTAGTCTCTCCGTGTCTGGTCGGGAGCGCGTGTGTCCTCGTATCTCTGCGTCTCCTCGGGAGCGCCTGCGTGCGGTGGCTCCACCTCGGATGACTCAGGAGGGCCCCACGGAGTGCTGAGTCCGCCTGCGGTCATCGGAAGTGGGGCGTGAGGCTGGAAGGGTCTGCGGGCTCTGGGCTGGAGAACCGGTTCAGCCCACAGGTCCCTCTGCAGAGCCGCTCCCAACGTGGCGGCTGCTTCCCTGAAACAAGGCCAGCAGCGGCGATGAAGCCGTGGCGTCGTCTGCCGGCTCAGAAGGGGTGTCTGCAGCTTCATTCTATTCTGGTGGAACGGGGCTGCATGCTGTGGCCACCCAGAGGCAGGCGTTGCTGGGGGCCTTCGTGCAGGCTGGCCTCCATGGCAGCTTCGTTCATTTCTTCTTTTAAATGGCCTTGAGAGATTAAATTTTTAATAAGAGCTGGGCTTTGCATTAAGCCGGCGCACCGACATCAGGGAGCCCGCCTCTCTGCACATGGACCCAGCCGCGGGGGAGAAGCTGGGTTTCCGCGCTGCCCTTGGCGAGGGTCGAGGGTCGCTGTTACTCCACATCTCCATCCTACCCTCATCTGTGGACTGGGGACACAGGGCTCCCTTTCTCCTGGATGTTTTTGACTCATCAGGAGGCTCCTGGGCTTTGCGCCTTTGTGCCTTTGCTTAGCCTGTGGCCACCTTGCTGATGTCGGTGTCTCCACGGTGCTACGGGTAAGGTCTCTGGTCCTCAGTGAGTTTTTTGTCAATTGGACAACAGATTTATAGGCACCAAACGGGCCCTACCGCTGAGTGTGGCATTGTAGGGGCCAGTGCCTACCTGCTCTGGGGACACATGCTCCCCACAGGTGAGCTGCTGCTGAGCCAGGGATTCCAGCTGCTGGGCACCAGGATCGCCAAGAATGTCTTAAAACTCCAGCTTTCCAGACCCACCTAAATGATGCAGAAGGTCATTTACAGGGCACTCCAGAGCACCGCAGCGGCACTCCAGGGACCCAGCCTGGATCTGAGCCACACCTCAGCCCTCACCTGGAAGCCCACCCCAGGCCCTCCTGGGACCCCTGATGTGTGTGCCCACTGCTGGCCTTGATCCAGCTCCTCAGCTGGGAAACTGAGGCCCAGAGGTTGTGGAGTACTTGTCCAAGATCACAGCGGGTGGGCAGGGACACCTCGAGCCAGGAGGGCCAACTCCGTGCCCAGTGCTCTCTCTTGAGCACCCTTGGCCAGGGGTGACCTGAGGCCTGCTGCCCCTACCTCCAGCCCCCTCCTCTGCCAGGGCACTCAGAACAACTTCCCCTCGAGGGGTGCCAGAGGGGACTCCAGGAGACACCAGAACACCCAAACCTGACACCCCCAGCCAAGGGCTCTCCCTAGACCCACCCGCTGCCCCATGCCCTCTGCCAGCCCTGAGCAGTGGCTGCACTGCGTGGAGCCGCCCTCGTCTGTTCTCCACTGGGTGCATGTTGTGGCCCAGAGCCAGGGCCCCACTGACTGAGCAGCAGCGTTCAGGAAGCTCCTGGCTGTTCCCAGCACCCTGCTCATTACAAACAACTCTGAAACACCTGTAATCCCAGCGCTCTGAGAGGCAGAGGTAGGCAGATTTCTTGAACCCAGGAGTTCAAGACCAGCCTGGGCAACGTAGCAAGAGCTGGACCCTACAAAAAATACCAAAAAATTAGCCTGGTGTGGTGGCTGATGCCTGTAGTTCCAGCTACTTGGGAGGTTGAGGTGGGAGGATCACTTGAGCCCAGGAGGCAGAAGTTGCAGTGAGCTGAGATGATTGCACCACTGCCTTCCAGCCTGGGCAACAGAGCCAGATCCTGTGAAAGAAAGAAAAGAAAGGAGAAAAGGAAAGGAAGAAAGAAAGGAAGGGAGGGAGGGAAGCAGGGAGAAGAAACAAAAGAAAGAGAGGCAGAGAAAGAGCAAAAAGGAAGGAAAGAAAGGAAGAGAAAGAGAAAGAGAAGAAAGAAGAGAAGGTCTGTGAAATGCCAGCTGCACGCCGGTGAGTGTCTGAGACCACACTGGTCCCCAGCACAGAGGCCCCTCCCCGGGGGAACCTCCGTCCTCCCTCACTGCAACCCCGGGAGAGCGAGGTCCGCGTGCGCCCCATGCTGCAGATGCGAAACCAGAGGTTAAGAGGGACCAAGAACGTGGCCTTGGTGTTTCAGCAGAGCTGAGATGAGGGTTCGGGTCTTCGTACTGGGCTCTCGGCACAGGCGGCTCTCATGGGTGGCTGAACAACAAGCACAAGAGAGGGGTGGGCTAGGAACGGGAATCTTTATTTAGCCAACACATGTTCAGCTTCAGCTCTGCGGCAGGGTCCTCAGCAGTGGAGGAAACCGGAGGGGGCTGGCTACAGAGCAGGCCCTGGGGAAAAGCCACGGGCCTGGGGCTGGGCCAGTGCTAGTTCCCTTCCCGGCCCCGCTGGCCCCAACGGCCAGTACCACCCCTCTCAATTTTCCATCTTCTTGAGCCTCCCTCCCCATGGGCCCCAGTCAGCCGTAAGAGTCTCTCTCTTCCATCCACCAGCTTGCCCGCTGCCCTCCATGCTCTGCCCGGACAGTCCCCTGGGAGCGAGGTGGGGACCCCTGACAAGCTTGTCCCTGACTGCACCCTCCTCTGTCCCAGGGAACCTGAAGCCTCCCCTCCCTGCCCCTGCCTGCTGGGCCATCTCACAGCTGCAGAGCCCTGCCCCCAAAGTTGCTGTGGGCTTGGGCCCAGCCCTCCTCACCCCAGAGCCTCGGTGATGATCCATCCTCCTGGCTGACATCAGGAGCTGTGGACAAGCCACACCCTGTGCCAACCATGCCCAGCACCCATTAAGGGATACTCTGCAGCACCCAGAGCCCCCGAGGGTGGAATCCATTTCCCTGTGTCCCTCCCGCCAGCACCCAGGCCACTGTGGAGGAGAGATGCGCTGTGGGTGACACCCACGAAGTAGCCACACTCCACCGAAGTCTGGCTGGTGGCCATCCCTGGTGGCATTCTCCTCTGTTGCAGCAGCCTTTGAGAGTGGGCGCTGGCCACCCTGCCTGGAGGCCTCCTGACCACTGCTACTCCCATGTCCCCTGCTCTCTGGCCTTGCGGGGGCCCACGACCAGGCCGGGGCAGTCAGCTGGAAGACAGGGGCCCCATGGGGAGCCTTCCTTTGAGGGAGCTGGGCCTCCGGAGCACCTGGCCTGGTGGGTGTAGGTGTGTGACCAGCAGGGACAGTCTGGCAGGAAGGCCTCCTGCCCATGGAATCTGTCCGTGGGAGGTGTGGCCCAAGGTTAGCAGGAGAAATGGGCAGGACCAGGGCCTGGGCCCACCTCAGGCTCATGTGGAAGGTAGATGTGGCTGAGGCCACCAGCACCAGAGAAACTGAGGGATAGGACGGCCAGGTAACTGGTGGCACTGGGGAAGGACAAGTGGGAAACAGATAGCATCCCAGGTCCCGGGGACCGGCCCAGCAGAGGTGCCCTGGGCTGGGGTGGGCTGTCACCTAACTTCAGGGGCTACCAAGGGGCTTCCTGGAGGCAGTGATGAGAAGGAGTCTGAGTCCCGGCTCGGAGGAGAAGCAGGCAACAGAAGAGTCCTGCAGCCTGTGATAACCAGCAGGACTGGAGGCCGCTGTGCACTCACTGAGCAGTCCAGCAGCTTTGCCCGGCTCACCCGGCCCCCAAGGGAGTAAGCAAGGAAAAGGAAAGAGAAACCCCCAGTCACCCCAAACCACGTTCTGAAAAGCAGGCTGCCCGCTGGGTCACTCTCCAAAGTTGAACATCTCAGCTTCCTTCTCCTTCCAGAAGGCAAAGCTCCGGTCGATGTAGCCACAGACGTCCTCGCTGTTGAAGCTGCCCCGCTGGGAGCGGGTCCCCAGCCGCTGTAACATGGGCTTGGGGCCGCTGCCGGGGACAGCAGCGTGCGGCAGGGGCCCAAGCGGTGTCAGTCCTGACTTCCGGCCAGGCTCCGAGTCCCAGGCGGGACCCTGGCTGGAGCCGAAGAAGCGGGCTTTGATGTCCTCGAAGCCGTCAGTCCAGGCCCGACGGCCAGCGGCCACCTCATCGGTCACAGGCCTTGTGGAAGGTGCGCACAGCCTCCCAGCCGTGGGTGCCCAGGTGCTCGAAGACTTCGAAGCAGAGCAGGTGGCGCGCCTTGCGCTCCTCAGCTGGCAGGTCGCACTCCAGGAGCTGGAAGTAGCCCAGCATGAAGAGGTCCAGCGAGAGGCTGCTGTAGGGCACGGGAGCCCCGTCCACGTGGGGCAGGAACTGCTCGGGGGACAGGGCCCCACGGGGCCGCCGGCTCAGCCGCCGCAGCTGCCGGGCGGGCACGTGAGCCATGATGGCCTTCCAGCTGCCCAGCAGGTGGGTGATGGTGCTGCGCTGCTGCCACAGGTGGCCCAGCCGGGGGCCCGGGCTGGGCAGAGAAGGTGGCCCAGGGCTCCTGGTGGCCTCCCGGCCCCGAGACCCTGTGTGGCGGGCTCCTAGGGTCCTGCAGGCCGCGGTCTTGAGGGCCGGCGTGTAGGCTGACCTCCTCCAGTGGCTGAGGAAGAGCATGACGATGCGCTCCTTGCGCAGGCTGGCCGGGTCCAGGCCGGCCGCGGCACCCACCTCCGACGGCACCTCCTCGCAGCTGACGCCGGAGTCGCTGGCCTCCTCCGTGTCGCCAGGCCTGGGCTGCCCCGAAGCTGGGACACCGCGGGGCTTCGGCGGGGCTTTCCAGCAGCCACTCAGGCCCTGCCTGGGCTGGGCTCCCGGCTCGCAGGGGCCAGGGTTGAAGCCACAGAGTGGGCTGGAGGCCGACTCGAAGTTGCCCCGCAGCGTCCGCACGGACACCCCCGACTCCTGGATCTGGCGCTGGGCCTCGCTCCAAGGGGGGCTGGCCGAGGCCTCCCTGCAGGCGTCCCGCAGCGGCCGAGTGGCTGGCTTCTCATCCCCCTGCACTAGCCCGTGCACGCCCTTCAACAGCAGGGACAGGCTGCGCACCAGGCGGGAGATGTGGCTGCACCAGAAGGGCAGGGGCTGCCCCCCAGGGGCCACCTCTGAGGCCTCCGCAGAGCACGTGGACTCAGCCGACAGGGTGGGGGCCTCCTCGGCCTCCAGTCCGGGCGCCCGGGGCAGGAAGTGGCTGTTGACCGTGATGCTGACCAGGGGCTCGGGCAGCAGGGCCTGCAGCTCAGCCGCCAGCCGGCCCAGCTCACTCTCATACTCCTGACAGCGGCGCCGAAGCTGCAGGTCCGCGATCTGCTTCTCCAGGTAGACCAGGTCGTCCTCGGTCAGTAGTTCCCCAAAGGGGCCCAGGATGGCCTGGTGGGTCTGCGAGTACCTCCAGGACGCTTGCTCCACAGGGCCGGAGATGCCACCATCATCCTGGGCACAGGAAGGGCAGGGTGAGCAGGGCCAGGGCTGCTGGACACCAGCTCCCGGGGTGGCTGGCCCTAGTCCAGAGCTGGAGGCTCAGGGAAGGCTGGTTTCCTCTCAAAGGGTGGAGGTGCCCCTGCCCTGCCTCCTCTGCACTCTTCCTAACCTCCCCACATCTGCTCCAGGTTTCACTGGTCAGGGCCCTCCCTGCCCCTTCCAACCAAATATGGAGCTCAGCCACTCTATTCCTGCCACCTCATCCATCCCTGCCGCCCAATAAGCATCTGCTGTGCCACACTGTGTCCATCCCCAGGGCCCAACAGGGACTCCCAGCCTTTGCCAGGCTGTGCCCAAGCCCATATCTTGAGCCCCTTAGCCTGCGCTCCCGCCATCAGCACCCCCACCCACCATCAGTCCACCCTGCCCGCCATCAGCCCACCTACCCATCATCAGCACCCCCCACCCATCAGCCCGCCCACCTGCCATCAGCACCCCTCACCCGCCATCAGCCCCCCATCTGCCATCAGTCCGCCCACCTGCCATCAGCACCCCCACCCACCATCAGCACCTCCCACCCTGCCATCAGCCCCCCGCCCCGCCATCAGTCCACCCCACCTGCCATCAGTCCACTCACCCATCATTGGTCTCCCCCCGCCCGCCATCAGTCCACCCACCCACCATCAGCCTGCCTCCCTGCCAGCAGCCCGCCCAGCCTCCAAGTCCCTGAGTGCTCAGCATCTCGGCAGAGCCTCTGGTCTTGCCCCAAGATAAGACTTCAAGGGGCTTCCCAGCTAGGGCAGACCCTCCGACCTGCTCAGCTCCAGTCTTGCTCTGTTCTGAACCCTGCGGCCCTCAGGCCCTGTGGCTCCCAGCCCAACAAGCAAGGACAGGCTGGGCCCTCAGACGACAGGGCTGTCCCACAGTCCTGCGACGACGGAGACGGGCTGTATTCCAGCAGCCAGGAGCCACCTGTGGCTACAGAAATGACAGGCGGCTGGTGCGACCGGGGGGCAGGACTTTTACTTTTCTTACATTTTAATTCATGTAAATGGCCGCAGGTGGCTACATGACTGTGCCGGACAGCGTAGCGCTAGACCACGGGGTGCAGAACTCACTGTCCTGACAGAATCGTAGGCCTCTGAGGGTACGATTCCTGAACTGTCTGCACAGCAGCCAGCGAGCCTGTTAAATCCAAACCACAGCCCTTCTCTGCTCAGACTCTCGGTGGCTCCTCACAGCCTCACAGAGGTGCAGTCATACCAGCCAGGCTCCTCTCCAACCTCAGGCACCCACTCCTCGCCCGGGTGCCCCCTCCTGTCCCTCCCTAGGTCAGCCAGGCCTCAGGACGTCGCACTGGCTGTTCCCTCTGCCTAGGCGGTGCTTGCCCCAAATTCCCACAGGGCTCCCCCTCTCTTCCTTCTGGCCCCTGCTCAAGGCTACATCCCCGGAGGGGTCCCCTAAGCACCCATATATCATAGCCCCCTAAATGCTTTGCTTTCTCCACAGCAGTGGGAATCGCCCACACACCTGCCAGCACCTGCCCATGAACCACCGTCTTCCCTGCTAGACGCTGCGCCCGGGAGGGCAGGGCGTGCCCTTCACTGCCTAGAACAGCACTTGGCACAGGCAGGCATGTGCCACAAATCCGCCAAGTGGCCAAGTGGAAGGCTGCGTGGGACCCATGCCTCCGGAGCAGGGGACGCGGCTCTGCTCAGAGTCCTCTGGTCTGGTTCACCTCATCCTCCGGTGGAAGCAACAGCCAAGGCCACAGAGGAGCGGGGCCCCTGGGTCTTGGATTCAGGTCTGGGCTCTGGGTACCCTGACTTCCACTTCTCCCTGCCTGGAAAAGGCCTCGCCCCAACCCAGGGCGTACCTGGGACTCCGCGGCACTCTCTGCGCCCAGGCGCGCCTGCAGCTTCCGCACCATTACCTGCCGCTTCCACTCGGGGATGGGCCGGCCACGCTCATCCCGAGTGGGCACCAGCCCATCGATGTCACCTGAGGGCAGCCCGTCTAGCTGCAGTGAGGCCAGGCCATCTGGGGCATCCCCTGCCAGCGCCATCTCGGTCCCCTGTGCAGACGGGGGTGGGTCACACAGGCCTGGAGAGGACCCAGACCCCGAGTGGGGGGAAGATCTAGAGAGGGCCTAGAGGGTTGGCTCAGCCCAGGGCGCGCTAACGGGGCGCTCGGAGAGGAGGGACAGTGGGAGCCATGGACAGCACCCCACCCCCTCATCTCCAGCTTAAGAGTGAGGCCTCCGAGGGGAGGGACCTGAGGTGGGGGCAGGGGCGGGGTGTGTGAGGGGATTGTTGGCAGAGAAATGAAACCAGAGACCCCTCCCCGCCTCCGATACAAGGCCAGCAGATGCTGTGTGTCCCTGGGCAAACTTGCTCTGGGCACAGCTACATGGATGAGGTCTGGGAGCCAGTCCTGTGCTGCAGCACTCATCAGAGGCTTCAGTGTGCTGGGCACGCGTCAGCTCTCCAGGAGGGGCAGTGCCATGCGGCACTGTCCGGACTCCCACAGAACATCTGTGGTTGAGAATCCGCAGGAGTCTCTCAGGGAAAGGCTGGGCTGGGTTTCTGAGGGCCTGGTGCCCAGGAAAGGGTGTTGGGGGAGCAGGACCCATCCGTTGGTCCAGGCTGGCCAAAGTCTTGAGGAGGGGGAGAGTGGCGGTGGGCCCCTGCCCGTGGATGGCTGCCGCGATCTCCGCACTCCAAGTGGGCACAGAGCACCCCTGAGCTCAGAGGTCGGGGAGAGGGGGGACACTGCAGCCCTCTGGGATGGCAGAGGAGGGTCCCCGTGTTTCTGTGGTGGAGGAACAGCTGCCATCGCCCTGACTCTCCTGCTCCTCAGAACTCAGGGTGTGGTTGAGAGCAGCGGAGTGATGCAGGCAGCCTGGAGTCCACCCTTCAGGGAAAGGGCTGGCTGTGCTGGGGGGCTTCCCTGGGCCCCCCAAGAGGATGGGGATGGAGGCTGGCCGGGGGCCCTGGGAGACAGGGACGCAGGGGTTGGGGACGCACCGCGGGGTGGGTCGTGGCATTGGTAGTGATCCTCGGAGGGGCTGGGCTGCTCATCTGCTCTCTGGGAAGAGGCTGGTCAGGATGGCCAGGCCAGGCGGGGCAGAGGGACGCAGCTGCCGAGAAGAAGGGGGAGTTGCAGAAAGGGCAAGGGCTGGGGAGCAGAGACGCAGAGCCTCAGGGATCCAGGCCTGGGGGCAGAACCAGCCTCCTGAACCAGCTGAGACTCCAGCCCACCCTGCATCAGAAGGCCTCGGGGGCTTCACTGGAGTCACTGGGGCCAGCCCAAGCCTGGTAGATGGGAGAGTCTGAGGCACACCCCGGGCCATCTCACAGCCCCTCGTGCAGCAGGAGAGAAGCTGGGAAGGGCTTGAGGCCTGGAGGTCACGGGCTCCTAACGCAGCTCTGCAGGACCCAGAGCTGCCCGCAACGCTCCCTGCCCTGATGCCAATGCACACTTCAGTGTCAACCTTGAGTGAAGAACACATCTGCATCACAGCCAGGCAGACACACACCGACACAATCACACACACATACAGTCACAAACACAATCACACACACAGGCACAATCACATACACACAGTCCCACACAGACACAATCACATACAAACATACACATACAGAATCACACAGACACAGACAGTCCCACACAGACACAATCACACACATTCACAAACACAATCACACAGTCCCACACAGACACCATCACACACAGTCACAAACACAATCACACAGTCCCAGACACAATCACACATACACACACAGACACAATCGCACACAGACACACACAATCACGAAACCACACACAGGCACAATCACACAAAGGCGCAATCACACAGATACAATCACAGACACAATCACAGAAACATACACAAAACAGACACAAACACAACCACACAGATACACAGATATAACACACATACAGACACAATCACACATACATACAGACACCATACACAGACACAAACATACACACAGACACAATAACATATACACAATCAGACACACAGACCCAATCACACACAGACACATGCAGACACAATCATGGACACACAGACACAATCATATACACATAAACAATCATAGATATAGTCACACACAATCACAGAAACACAGAACACAGACACACACAGACACAATCACTAACACAGACACAATTACACACAGACACACTCACATACACACAATCACACAGAACAGATACACATGCGCCCACATGTGAGCACAGCCGCGGCGGGGCCTGTGTTGGAAGCTCGCCCTCACTACTGTGGCACCTGCTGATGTTTTTGGGCTGTTCCACTCCATTCCATTCTGAGCAACACTGGTCACAGTCCCCTAATGGTGGTGGCCTGCAGTATGAGGACCGTCCCCTGCCCCACTAGCCCGTGCATGCAAGGCATGCTGGGATCTCGGGACAGCAGCCCATCCGCGAGGGGCCTGGGCCCAACCAGCCCGCCTCCTCGCCTTTAGCCCTGGACAAGTTGCTGTGACTCTAAGTGCCTACCACGGAAAATGCTAATCCTCACCTTTACAAAGCGACGAAGACAATTAAGGAAACCCAGAAGCAACTGGGAGGGGGGGGTGACCCGGTGCCCGGCTGCCTGCAGACTTCCAGATCCCGGATCCCGAGGGGGGGCCAGTGGCACCCCCTCCCAAGCCCCTGCCCCGGCTGCCCACGTGGGGCTGTGCACTCACGGGCAGGGTGCCCAGGCCCCAGGCCTCCTCTTCTTCCATCCTCTAGGGAGTGCGTGGCCAACAGTGGAGGTGGGGGGAATGGCGGCGGTGGCGGCGTCATCAGCAGGGGCACCTGTGGGTGGATGGACTTGGTTAGTAGGGGGCCCCTGTGGGCTCTTCCCTGCTCACCTAGCAGGGGCACCCAGTGGGCGAGCCTTGGGGAGCCTGTGCATCTGAGAAGGGTTGGGACAGGTTAGGAGGTGGCAGGGGAGGGTCAGGTCCTCGATCAAGGGTCTGCCCCAGGGCCATCTCCCGCCTGAGTGCCGTCACTTACTGGCACCCCACCTTGCTTCCCCACCCGCTGCCACCTCTGTTGGGTGGGCCACCCCCATCTCCAAGCTGAGCTTCCAGGCTCCCTCTGGAGGCAGCTGAGCTCTGGGGCTCTGGGCACTGGCTTATGAGCTGGTTTCCAGCTCTGCTCAGTGCCCTGTGGCCTCACAAAGATGCATGCACATGTGCACACACATGTGTGTTCACTCCCTCCTGCACACACACCCGTGTCCACTCTCCCTCCTGCACACACATGTGTGCCCACTCTCCCTCCTGCACACACACGTGTCCACTCTCCCTCCTGCAGACACACATGTGTCCACTCTCCCTCCTGCACACACGTGTGTCCACTCTCCCTCCTGCACACACATGTGTCCACTCTCCCTCCTGCACACACGCGTGTCCACTCTCCCTCCTGCACACACGCGTACCCACTCTCCCTCCTGCACACACACATCCACTCTCCCTCCTGCGCACACATGCATGTCCACTCTCCCTCCTGCACACACACATCCACTCTCCCTCCTGCACACACACGCATGTCCACTCTCCCTCCTGCACACACACATGTCCACTCTCCCCCCTGCACACACATGCGTGTCCACTCTCCCTCCTGCACACACGTGTGTCCACTCTCCCTCCTGCACACACACGTGTCCACTCTCCCTCCTGCACACACGCGTGTCCACTCTCCCTCCTGCACACACGTGTTCATACACCTGCACACACGTGTTCACTCTTGCACACACACGTGTCCATGCTCCCTCCTCCACACACACACGTGTCCACTCTCCTGCACACCCCATCCCCGACTCCTGTGCTGCGGTCTGCCTGGAACTTCAGCCCTGACACAGGGCCCATCAGTGTCTTGGGGGTGGATCGCCCCGTGAGCGTCCTGGTGAGGAGAGGGGAGGGCAGTGGACTAGGATAAGGGTCCCCGATGTGCCCATCAGCCGAGGGCATGGGCAGCCCTTGTCCCCAGCCAGCAAGGCCGCATGCCACAATCCCTCTGGGCACCTCCCCCACTCTGCCCTCCAATGGGCATTGGAAGCCAGACGTGGCTGTCAGGGCTCCCACATAAGTGCTAGTCAGAGTCCTGGGCAGAGCAGAGGACTCAAATCGGCCACGATTCCGGACTTGTGGCCTGGGCCTAGGGCCTGTCGTGCGAGTGGGAGGGACTCAGGCTGCAGCTTGCTCAAATGCACAGCTGTCTCTGCCTTCAAATTCGTTCCCCTTTCTGAGCGCGGAGCCCCCATTTTCATGCCGCACTGAACCTTCAACCTCCCCAAGCCTCCCTTCCTCGTGAATAAGGCCGCCTCCAGGCAAGGATGCTGGGTGGCCCCTCAGCCACCTGCCCTCCAGGACCCTCACCTCATGGGGCCACAGGGGAGGAAACGCAGCCCGAAGGCCCGTCTGCCCGGCCTCCACGCACCTCGCTCCTTCCAGGAATCTGTGCCCACAGTCCAGAAACGCTGTGCACGGTCGGCTGGGGAACAACTGCCCGGCCCCCAGTCCCGGAGGCCCTCAGAAGCGAACTGCAGAGCGCAGGGAACGCAGCCGTTCGGGGATGCCGGGGGCTGCTGAGGCTGCTGCCCCCAGGAGTGGGAGGTGCCACATTAATATTTGAAGGCCCAGGTGTCCGGTGGCCGGGCGGGCTTGGGCTGGGTGGCAGGATCCTTTACCACAGCACTGTTAACTCTCCATGGAGCAGGGGCCAGGGGAGGGAATGCTCGGGGAGATGGAAGGGGGGCCTGAGATCCCTGGACCCCATGAGACAAGAGGCCACCCAGAGGCACCCCCAGTCCCACCCACAGTATAGCTCCTGGGGCACAGACAGGGAGACTGAAGCTCAGAGAGGGCAAAGGGCTGCCTGAAGAGCCGGGATGAGAGTTCACTGGAGACGTCAGTCTTTGCTCCAGTGCCTTCAACCACTGCTTCCTTGGTCACAGAGGCTGGCCTCTGGGGAAAGACCAAGAACACACAGCCTGGCTGTTCCTTTCTGGGCTGCTTCTCTGGGGTGTGTGCAGGGAGTGACAGAGGGACCAGGAGCAGGCTTGCTCTCTGCTAAGGAACAAGGTGTTCCCCAGACTCAGCGGTCCTCAGTAGAGACACCAATCTATGCGGCACAGCTGCCATCGGGACCCAACTTGTACCACCTGGGCTCAGGGGCAAGGGATGCCACAGAACATGCCACGTGCTCCCTGCCGTGCTGAAGAAGGTCCTCTGTCTTGGACCCAGGAGTCTGGTGTCTTCCTCCACGTTCAAGACATAGTGAGAGGCTGGCATCAAGCAGGGCAGAGTCAGACACCAGATCAGACACGGCCAGAAAAGCTGGACACATGGTGTCACAAAGAGGAATACTGAGCCCTGCCTGGAGTGGCTCCATACTGTCCCCTGCCTATCCAGGGACAGGGCCAGGAGCGGGATGCTGCCTTTTGCCTCCTCCCTGCCCCTGGGAGCCCTCAGCCCCTGCCCTGAGATCGAATCTGCTGTCAATGGGGAGGGGTCACCCCTGGCAGAGTGAGGGGGTTAGCTGGATGGCAGCAGCTCCTTATGCTGGGGAAGACAAGAGGTGGAAGTCAGTCTGGGGCTCAGGGGACTATCGGACTCTGGCCCCAGCACAGCACCTGTGGCCTGGGGACCTCAGGCCACCCCTCGAGGTCCCTGTGGCCCAGCCCTGCTCCATTCCTCACCAACGAGAAGCACTGTGACACCACCCCCTGAGCCTCCATTTCTTCACTGTAAATCAGACGAGGAATTATGGAGAGCACCGGGAAGGGGCCTGCGTGACGGTGGCATTCAGACCTTGGCGCTGCTGCCACCGTTGGTATTAGGATGGTCTCTGAGTTTTAACAAGGAAGGCCCTGGCCACAATGGAGCCGCTGGCGTTTGGAGGCACAGGTGTCAGGGATCCTGCCCCTTGGGGTCCTAACAGATGTGCACTGCTGCCCCCAATCCCAGCGTTGGACATTTGCCCTGAGGTTGGCAGTCATGTGGCCCCACGGCCCAGCCTGCTGTCCCTGTCCCTGGTTTTTGGTGAGATTGGAGCCTGGAAGAGGCTTCATGCATTATACATGGAGAGCATCGTGCAAGCCAGGTCACAGGCCTGTAACACCACCCGGCCAGAGAGAATCACTGCCCATGAATGGCTGCCGGACACTAGTTGCCATGGCTGAGATTCCATTACTGGCCGGGTGGGTGCCACACTTTCCAGGGAGAGGAGAGTGCCCAGGAAGCCTCTCACCTTCTCTGGGCCTCAGTTTCCCCATATCTAAAATAAAGACGTCTTAGTGCCTTTCTGGACTCCAGCACATCTGTCCCAAGAGCCCACCAGAACAGGTACTTCACCGGCTGCTCAAGGAGCTTCTCCGCCTTGATTACAAGTGGCTCACACCTGTAATCCCAGCACTTTGGGAGGCAGCGGTGGGAGAACCACTTGAGCCCAGAAGTTCAAGACCAGCCTTGCCAACATGGCCAAAGCCCGTCTCTAAAAAAATACAAAAACTAGCCAGGCGTGGTGGCACATACCTGTAGTCCCAGCTACTTGGGAGGTCAGGGTGGGAGGATCACTTTAGCCTGGAAGGCTGAGGCTGCAGTGAGCTGAGATTGTGCCACTGCACTCCAGACTGAACAACAGAGCGAGAGACCCTGTCTTTCTTATGGGTGAGAATATTGGGGTTCAGAGATGCCCAGAACTTGCCAGTGCCCCATGCCAAGGAACACTGTGAGAGGGACAGCCCTGGACACTATGGGGGGGTGCCGGAGGCTCCACTCCCTAAGCATGGAGGGTTCTGTGTGCCGTCCCCGCCCAGACAGGGCACTGAGGGCCCTATAGCCAGGAGCCCAGCTGCTCGGCCAGCAGAGGGGAGGGGGCCCCCCTTGAGGGCAGCCCCTGCCCTTCCCTGGTCTTCATGGTTCCAGCCTTCATTGTGCAGAGTCCCCAAGGCCCAGGGAGGGGCAGGGCTGGCCTTCCTGAGTGCCCTGAGCAGACTCTGAGCTGGGGGGCAGCAGCTGACAGCCTGCCCACTCTCGGAGGCCTGGAGGGGGACAGCTCCCATGGGGAGAGACGAGCACCCCCTGCTGTCACCAGACCCTCTCAGAGGGAGAAGACAGAGACGGGCTCCCGTCCCCCGACCCTGAGCTCCCAAACATGACTTCCAGCAGTGACTGAATTCTAGTTCCTGAAACTGCTGTACCAGGACAAAAGCAGGGCAGAGCCGCGCTCTCCGGAGGCCACCCGAGCTGGCGCCACAGATCTGACACGAAGCCGGCACCTCCACGGGTCAGGTCTCAGCACTACTGCCCAGCCTTGCTCCCCCAGCTGCTGTTGCTCTTGGAACTCACGAGTCCCCTGGGGGCAGATAAAGGCTGTGCTGTCACGGGAAGATGATGGATTTCACCACCTCTTCTGAGGCCAGCACGGGGGTGGCCAGTGCACGAGGCCCCTGTGGATTGCGTTCCCATCAATATTGCAGCAGGCACATGGCCTCCCCCGGCCCGCAGCTGACAGCCTGCCCTCCCTCGGAGGCCTGGAGTGGGGACAACTCCCGTGGGGAAAGACAAGCAACCCCTACTGTCTCCAGACCCTCCCAGAGGGAGAAGACAGAGACAGGCTCCAGTCCCGATCCTGAGCTCCGAAAGCAGCTCCTGAAGCTGCACACTGAGGAGCCGGGCAAGCCCCAGGGCTGGGTTTCTGTGCGATGGGCAGGGGGTACCCAGGTGTGGGCAGGAGGGGACTGTGGATAGGAAGGAGGTGGCGAGCCTGACACCACCCATCCTCCACCACCATGGGGTCTGGGGACGGAAGACGGAGGAGCAGCTTGGACAGAAAGCCCACGCAGGGACCCCAGCATGGCTGGGGTGGGAACAGCATCAGGGGCTCCCGGGAGGCCGGGTGGGGCTGTTCCCTTGTGCCAGGGGCTTGTGGAGCCTGGAACACTGGCCGAACGGCTGCCCTCTCCACCTCCTAATCTCAGCTGCCATTCAGGCAGGAAGTGCAGGGAGGGGCCCAGAAAAGGCCAAGGCAGACCCAGCGGCCTTCAAGGAGCTGTGGGGAGACCCAGGCAGCTGCGGGCCACGGAGCCACCGTCCTCTGCAGTGGAAGCCAGTGGAGTTCCACCACCTTCTCAAGCAAAGCCAGAAAAACAGACACCATTTAGTAAAGACACGACTTCCAGCAGTGACTGAATTCTAGTTTCTGAAACTGCTGCCCCAGGACAAAACCAGGGCAGAGCCGCGCTCTCCGGAGGCCACCGGAGCTGCCTGCACAGCGCAGCGGGCCTGGTGTGGGTTTCCATTGGTGGGAACAGAGGCCCTGTGGCGGCAAGTATCCAGCAGGCCCTGGGGGCTGGGAAGGAAACTGGGGCTCTGCCTCAGGTGGTCCTGGATGCTCTGAGGGGACGCATGAGAGGAGGCACAGCAACCCCTTGGGGGGACCGGGATGGGTGGTGGAGGGTGAGGTCACCTTCTGGGCCTCACCCGAAAAGAAGGGCCAGGTGACTTCAGAGAACTTTCCTGAAGGGGTGTCCAATAAAAGTGATATGGGAGAAACTGAGGTAGGCTAGCTGGATTTGTCTTAGTAACTGCCCTGGGCCTGGAATAAAGAGGGAAGGTCAGATGGGAGGGCATAAGGGTGACTAGGATCCACTGTGGATGCCAAAGCGCCCTCTCCAACCTGCTCCTCCATTCATTTCCCCATCCACATCCCCCATCCACATCCTCCACCCACCCTCCTCCATCCACATCCTCCATCCCCCCTTCTCCATCCCCCCTCCTCCAATCACCCTCTCCATCCACATCCTCTGTCCACCCTCCTCCATCCACATCCTCCATCCACATCCTCCATTCACATCCTCCATCCACCTTCCCTCCTCCATCCACCCTCCTCCATCCACATTCTTCATTTACTCTCCCTCCTTCATCCACCCTCCCTCCTCCGTCCACCCACATCCTCTGTCCACCCTCCTCCATCCACGTCCTCCATCCACATCCTCCATCTACATCCTCCATCCACCCTCCTCCATCCACATCATCAACCCTTCTCATCCACATCCTCCATCCACATCCTCCACCCTCCCTCTTCCATCCGCATCCTCCATCCACCCTCCTCCATCCTTCCTCCTCCATCATCCTTCCTCCATCCACCCTCCTCCACCCACATCCTCCATCCACTCTCCTCCATTCACACTCCTCCATCCTGCCTCCTCCATCCTCCCTCCTCCATCCTCCCTCCTCCATCCACCCTCCTCCATCCACCCTCCTCCATCCACTCTCCTCCATTCACCTTTCCATTCCTCCTCTGTCCATCTGTCCTCTCTCCACTCTCCTGCGCTCTCCCTCCCCCATTTATTGCTCCCCGTCCCGCCCTCCTTTGGCCTCCCTGCCCCATCATTCCTCCTGTCTGTTCTCTCCCCATCCATCCGCCTGCTTTTCTGTCTGATGCATCCGCCTGCTTTGCTGTCCCTTTGTTTATTTTTCATTCAGCAAACATTTGTTGAGTCCTGTCATGTACTAGGGCCTGGGGACCGGTGGGACAGGCAAGACCCCTGTCCTTAGAAATGGGGAAATGAGAGACTGTGAGGTCCCAGGCTGAGAGGCAAGAGCCGGGGCTGGCATCTGGTGCCTTCTGGCTGCTGCAGGGCTGCCAGCGGCCTTCTGGTTACCTGTGGGGGGCTCTGCTCCCGCTCCGGGGCTCCTCAGTCTGACATGCATCACCCACGAGAAACCCTGGCTCTCCAGTCACAGGTGTGGTCTCTGTGACGCAGGCGGACGGCAGGTTCCAGCCACAAGCCCAGGCTCAGCCCTGTCACATGCCCTCTGTTCTGGCCCGTTACAACCCCCATCCTTGTCACAGCCCTGGCCCCACCCATGTCATGGCCCCTGTCCTGCCCCTGTCACAGCCTGGCTCTGACACCGGCTGCCCAGTGGTGCCTCAGTCCTCCTCAGGCCCTTGTTGCTGGCCCCAGTGCCGTGTGTGAGTTGGACGCGGTGAGCTTCCCAGCTGACTATGCTGCAGGTTCAGCAGTGGGGCCCCGGCTGGGATCTGGGCCCACCCCCACGCCTCCAGGGTGGCTGGGAACCCTGAGCCTTACCGGCTGGGCCATCTCCCGCAGGTACTGGGCACAGTCCCGGTGTCCGTGGTACTCCGCCAGGTCCGCCGCTGTGTAACCATCTTCATCCCGCAGGGAGGGGTCCACATGGTGGGAAACCAGGGTCTGGCAGCACTGCAGTGAGGAGGGCACACGTGTGACCCACCACAACACTCGCCAGGTGCCCATGGGGCTGGCCCTGTGCAGGCCGCTCCCCAGGCTGCCCTGGTGCCCTTCCCAGCAGGGGCAGGACTTGAGTCTGGGCTGCTGGGGTTCCGGAGACCTGCCTAGGAGTCCCTGAGCCTCATCTCACACCCCCTGTCCTGGCACAGACAGTACCGGGTACTGCCTATGAAGCAGTGCTGAGCCGACAGGATCAGGGCGCCCTGTCCAGACCCCTCACAGCTGCCGTGCTCCAGGCGTGAAATGCACAACCTGTTTCTGTGTTTGCAACCCTTGGAGGTGTGGACCAATGCAGGTGAAGAAACCAGGCTCAGAGAAACAGGCAACCGGCCCCTTGCTCCCCGACTCAGGGCCTGCGGCCTCCCCACTTCCCGCCACAGCCCCACTCTCCACGGGACCGTCCTCCTGGCTCCATGAGGTTCCCCCCTGGTGCCCGGAGCACCAGCTCAGGCCTGACCAAGGCTACTCACCCCCTTTGCCAGCCACACTGCATGCTCCTACCCCACCAACCTGGGGCCAGGGCCCTCCTGTCTTCCTGTACCTGATGGGCTCTTGAGATGGGAACAGGGAGGAAGAGGAGCAGGGAGGAAGCTGGGGAGGGAGTCTGCAGGACTGGGAGTCTGGAGGGCATCTGGGCTGGCGAAGGAGTCATACGGGAGAGGGACGGGGGACTTCAAGAATGATTTCTGCACTTTATTCTGTAGGTATTTATTCTGTAAATATTTCTGTGTTTCTTTTACGGTACCAGGGAAACAGAAAAACGAACTCGAGTGAGGCGAGTGCTGTGTTCATGAAACTGCCTCTGACTCCAACGCATTCCCTGAGATAGACCAGCTGGGCCTCAGCGTCTTTGGGTGAAACTGAAGTGAACTAAGAAGTTGTGAGGCCGGGCGCAGTGGCTCCGCCAGGTACACGGCTGTAATCCCAGCAATTTGGGAGGCCAAGGCAGGTGGGTCACCTGAGGTCCGGAGTTCGAGACCAGCCTGACCAACATGGAGAAACTCTGTCTCTACTAAAATTACAAAATTAGCCAGGTGTGGTGGTGCATGCCTGTAATCCCAGCTACTGAGGAAGCTGAGGCAGGAGAATCACTTGAACCTGGGAGGTGGAGGTTGCGGTGAACTGAGATCATGCCATTGCACTCCAGCCTGGGCGACAAGAGCGAAACTCTGTCTCAAAAAAAAAGAAGTTGTGAGACCCCCGGCTGGGCTCAGTGGCTCACGCCTGTAATCCCAGCACTTTGGGAGGCCAAGACGGGTGGACCACCTGGGTCAGGAATTTGAGAGCAGCCTGACCAACATGGTGAAACCCTGTATCTACTAAATACAAATAAATAGCCAGGCATGGTGTGGGTACCTGTAATCCCAGCTACTCAGGAGGCCGAGGCAGAATCACTTGAACCTGGGAGCTGAAGGTTGCAGTGAGCCAAGGTTGCACCATTGCACTCCAGCCTCGGCAACAGAGCAAAACTTTGTCTCAAAAAAAAAAAAAAAAAAAGAAGTTGTGAGACCCTAGGGGAAATCTCACCTACCTTCTCTCCGGACTGCAGGTGCCTCACTGCTAAAAGGTGCCATTAGTGTTCACCCTCTACACATACAGAGATAAATACAGGTTCAGCGCGCATGTGGACGGCGGGTGTGCCATGCCACAAGTAAACATGACCTGACGCTGTCGTGCATGGCTGGGGACCTGGCAGCAAAGTCCAGTGGCCTCGAGCTCATCTGGCTCTGTGACTTGCTGGTCAGAGAACTTGGCCAGCTGACTGGGCCTGTTTGTAAAGTCGGGACAGCTGCACTGACCTATGGCTGACACCACCTCCCTCAGCCTCCCTCGCCCCTGCCCCTAAAGACACCCAGCTGTGCAGCTAGCAGGTCAGATTTTGACCTCAAGCCTGAGTGCCTTGTCCTGGAGAGTCCTCTGAAGGGCACCACCAAAAGAAGGTGAACAAAAAGATGGAAAGAGCCCCACTCCCTGGCAGCCCTGCAGGCCCACAAGGCCAGCACCAGAACCGCAGAGCGGAAGGGCTTGTCGCTGCATGAGGATGATGACCCCATGCCTCCAAGCCTTGGACTCAGAGTCTGCTTGCGCGCTGCCTGCGTTCCTAAGTGCCATGTTGCCCTCCAGAGAGCAAGCAGCTCAGGCCGGGGGCTGCTGGTTCTGGCACAAATACCCAACCCTGGTCATGGTGCGAAAGCAGCCACACATAGTATGGCCGGGTGCCCACGAGGCTTTATTTGTGGATACTGACATTTTAACTTCATATGAGTTTCATGTGTCATGAGATGTGATTCTTTTTCTTTTTCCCCATTTAAAAAGGGGAGAACTATTTTGAGCTTATGGGATCATACAGAATCAGGCGTGTGCCCAACCCTGTCTGGAGGGCTGCTGGGAGGCTTGAACCAGATAATGCCTGAAGGTTCTTGGAGGCCCAGAAGGGCTGAACCAGTGGCCGGTGTGGCTGAGGAAGCAGGAAGCATTAATCAGACGTGCCAGCTGGGCTGGGAGGCTGGGGCTGGGGAGGTTGGGCTGGGAGGCTGGGGCTGGGCGGCTAGGGCTGGGGAGGCTGGGCTGGGAGGCTGGGTTGGGGAGGCTGGGCTGAGAAGCTGGGCTGGGGAGGCTGGGGCTGGAGAGGCTGGGCTGGGAGGCTGGGCTGGAGGCTGGGGCTGGGAGGCTGGGGCTGGGGAGGCTGGGCTGGGAGGCTGAGTTGGGGAGGCTGGGCTGAGAGGCTGGGCTGGGGAGGCTGGGGCTGAAGAGGCTGGGCTGGGAGGCTGGGCTGGGAGGCTGGGGCTGGGGAGGCTGGGCTGGGAGGCTGGGCTGGGAGGCTGGGGCTGGGGAGGCTGGGCTGGGAGGCTGCAGAGGCCGGGGCAGATGGCTGAAGCCAACCCCTGGGAGAGGCACTGCTCCGGAAGCTCTGGGCTGGAGGAATGGCAGGAGTCTGCCAGGATGAGGTGGGTATGGGTGGGTGGAGGTGGAGCGTCCCCAAGGCGCTGTTGCTCAGGAGACAAGGTCAGGACGGGGCGGAGGGGAGTTAATAGGGTCTGCAGGGGTATGAGGGGTGTCACAGCAGAGGAAGGGGGACAAGTGTCAGACCTGGCCCCAGGTAGTGCTGGGGAGAGAGGGCACAGCCCTCACAGAAACAGAGCCGTGGGGAGGAACAAGAGAACCCCCCCACAGAGTGACAGACCACATCGCTGCTGGGACTGTCAGCAGAGGGTGAGTGGCGACAGACTGAACTCTCTCTGGAAGTGTGCAGAAGCCACCCAGCGGAGAAGCAGGTGAGCAGATGGAGCCACGCCAGGGAGGAGAGACCCAAGTGGGTCAGACCAAGCCACTGCCCAAGGACGTGAAACGTGGATTCACTGTAAAAGTCCCTTGCCAACAGCATCAGTGAGGTAACATGGAAGTGAGAGCGAAACTCAAGAGGAAAGGAAAGCCTGGGGGTGAGGGGTGGGGGGAGCCCAGCACCCAGAACTGCTCTCGCCCTGAGACAGGGCTGATGCCGGAAGAACAGTTATCGTTATACAATGTGCTGTCCTCCAGCAGCCTCAAGGGACCAGGAAGGCCAGGAACAGTGCGAAGTCCACCAAGGGTGGGCCTCTGGTTGACCACCTCCCGATGTAAGGCAAAGGCTCCACCCTGAGAGAAAACAGAAACCAGATGCCAGCCAGGCCCCAGGTGCCTGTCACAGAGGTGGTCCTGGGAACTTCCTGCCTGGAATGTGGATTAAGATGATCCTGGGCTCACCAAAGGCAAATAAGATATTGCCAAGGCCTCCAATTATGCCTGCACTCCATTTTTCAAATTTAATGTCAGCATACACCAACAAAAATCAGAAATACAAGGAGATAAGATACCATAAATGAGAAGCAGAAGACCCAGCCTGCAAAGAACTAGAAATAAAGCTCGGAGAACTAACACTATGATACAACTGTGCCTTCTACTTTTAGATAAGGAAAAACCCAGGCAGGCAGATCACATCTCTTCAAACTTAAGAGGGTAAAATATATACTGACTGTAGATGGTCTAAATGCACCAATAGATAAAGATTGTCGGACTGATGAAAAAATTAAATATGACTGCCTGTGGTCAACCAGAGGTACTGGCAAACATAAGGATTCAGAAGGCTGAAAGTGAAGTATGAACAAGCTTTACCATCAAATAAGTAATAGAAAAGTCATGTGTGTACCTATATCAAACAGACTAGATATGGGGTTCAAAATATATAAAACAAATGGTGACAGGATTGCAGGGAAACACAGACAAATCCAGAACAATAGCCAGGAATGTTCACACATTTCTCTCAAGCAATGTAAAATCCAGTAAACTAACACATGTATCTATATCGATCTGAAGAATACAATGACATAATAGACATGAAGAGAATAATCAGCAGACTTTACAGTCTTTCCAAGAACAAATACAATATTTATAAAAGTTCACCAGACACAGGTCAATAAAGTAAGTTATCAAAAAATCAAAGGCTTGAAATCACCAGTGTATTTCCTGACCACAGTGCAATTTGGAGAGAAATTAATAACAGATAACTGGAAGGAACACCTTTTATTTAGAAATTAAGAAATATAATTCCAAGGAATCCCTAGGGCAAATAAGAATCAAAATGGGAATTAGAAAATATTTTTTAACTGAACAATTAGCCAACAGTGGGATACAGCTAAAGCAGTACTTAGAGGAAAATTTATAGCCTTCAATAAATATATTAGAAAAGAAAAAAGGCTGAAAAGGAAGTGAAGTAGGCATCCATTTCAGTAATTTAGGAAAGAAAGTAGTAACAAAGATAAATGCAGAAATTAATGAAATAAAAAACATACATTGGAGAGAATTAAATGCTTTTTGGAGGACCTCGAACAAGTTAAAACCTGGTTGTTTGAAAAACTAGTGACTAACATCTAGTGAGACTGACTGAGACAAAAAAGAAAGACAAAAATAACCAATAACCAGGAATTAAAAATGGAGAAATTACTATATATAGGCAATAAAGGATCACGAGGACATTAAAAATAACTTTATGCTAATATATATAACTTAGATAAAATTGATTCCTAGAATATTTCTAGAAAATAAATCCTAGAAAAATATAATTTACCAAAACCAATACATTTTAAAAAACCCCAGTAGTTCTATAATAAATTGAATTAGTAATTAAAAACCTTCCCTCAAAGAAACAGCCAGATCCAGAGGATTTCATTAGTGAATTCCACAAAACCTTAAAAGAAACAAATAAGTCTAATGTAACCAAAATGTCTCAAAATATAGAAAAAGAGGAAACACTCCTAATTCTTGGCATATTTTGATACCAAAATCTAGCAAGGCTCGAACGAAAAAAGGACATTCCTGCCAATTTTACTCAAGAATTGAGGCCAAAAATCCTTAACAAAATGTTAGCAAATTGAATTCGGTTACATTTAAAAGAAATAATATGTCATGTTGAACTTATTCCAGGAATGCAAGGTTGGTGTAACATTTTAAACGAATCAGGGTAGATTCGGGTATTCTACTGCTGGATATACACAGCCAAAAGATTTGAAGGCTGGATCTCAGAGATACTCGCACACCCATGTTCATAGTAGCATCATTCACTACAGTCAAAAGGCAGAAGAACCCAAATGTCAATTAACAGATAAACTGAGAAAGAAAACGTGATATACACATACAATAGAATATTATTTAGCCATAAAAGGAAGGAAATTCTGACACATTACAATACGGGTGGACCTTGAGGATATTATGCTGAGTGAACTAAGCCAGAGACAAACGGATAATATTGTACAATTCCACTTATATGAGGTATCCTAAGTCATCAAGTTCATAAAAAACAGAACATAGAATGTTGGTTGCCAGGGGCTAGGAGAAAAGGGAGATGGAGAATTGCTGTTTAATGGCCACAGAGTCTTAGTTCTGCAAAATGAAAAAGTTATGGAGATTCGCCTGCACAGCGACGTGAACAGACTCAATGCTGCTGAACTATACACTCGAAAATATCTAAGATGGTAAATTTTATGTTATGTATTTTAAAATCACAATTTAAAAATTTTAAAGAATAATCAGGGCTGGGCATCGTGGCTCATGCCTGTAATCCTAGCACTTTGGGAGCCTGGGGCGGGTGGATCACAAGCTCAGGAGATCAAGACCATCCTGGCTAACACAGTGAAACCCAGTCTCAAACAAAGATAAAAAAAAAAAAAAATAGCTAGGCGTGGTGGACTGTGCCTGTAGTCCCAGCTACTTGGGAGGCTGAGGCAGGAGAATCCCTTGAACCCGGGAGGCGGAGGTTGCAGTGAGCCTAGATCATGCCACTGCACCCCAGCCTGCGTGACAGAGCAAGACTCTGTCTCAAAAACAAACAAGCAAACAACAAAAAAAAGCTGGGCGCAGTGGCTCACGCCTGTAATCCCAGCACTTTGGGAGGCTGAGCTGGGAAGACTGCTTGAACCCAGAAGCTTGAGGCCTGCCTGGGCAGCACAGTGAGACTCCCATCTCCACAGAGTTTAAAAAAAAAAAATTAGCCAGGCATGGCTAGGAATTTGAGGTTGCAAATGGTGATGACACGCTGTTGTGTGTTTTGACACCCACAGTAAGAAATTTAAAAGGGAAGAAGTCTCTGCTTTGAGGTTGAGTGATTTTCTTTTTCACAGAGGGAAGGTGAAGAGCCTGGGGACTCGGCTGGTTATTAAGCTTCTGGGGCTCCTATCGAATATTTCATTTGAAAGAAGATTTTGCTGCTTTAAAGAAGTTCAAAAGCCACTGGCCTGGGGCCACTTACCCCCTTCTGAGCCCAGGTCTCCTGGGGGCCCGCCTGAGCCACTCAGCTGGAGCAGAGCTCCTCCTGCCACCAGCTACCTGTTGGAGACACGCCTCCCAGGCCTGCGGTTCACCCCCTCTCCCACCGCTTCATGTATCTACCTAGGTGGGGGACAGAGACTGGGGACACAGCTGGGGTGTGAGCTGTGCAGAGCTGAGCGGAGGGGCGGGGAGGGGGTTGGTGAGCGCTGCTGGGAGCAGGGACTGGGTTTCCTCCGCATTCCGCCAAAGGCTCCGCTCCCGATGGCTCTGCTGCTGCGCCCTGCGTGACTGTTTCAGTGGCACCGCTGAGACTGGGTGACCCGGGGCCCCAGGAAGACCTTGGGCTTCAGCTGGGAGCAGCTGTCTGGACTTCCACTTACAATCCCCCCAGGGTAGCCTCGCGGAGGCCTGGAGCTCGCGTGTCCTGGCTCCAGACTGCGCACCCGAGCCAGGGAGGCTCTGGAAGAACACGGGGAACCAGGAGGCTTCATGGAGGTGAGTGGACGCGACACTGCTCGGGACTGGATGGGACTGGGGAGCAGTGAACTGTGTGTGTTCCCTGAGAGGGGGCCTTGCCTTTAGATGAGGTCGACATCGCGTGGGCACCTGTGCAGGGCCAACGGCCTATGGCTGCACCCACCCTCCAAGGCTGAGTGTGGTTCTGATGCTGAACATTCGAACACCGCTTCTGCATGTCCTGTTCTTGAGCCTGGGCCCTGCGAGCCCCCAAGATTTCTCTGGATAATAGCAAAAGGGCTGGCATCACATGCCTGGCACAGCTCTGCTTGCAGGCGGCTCACGGCAGCGGGTCCGTCCCCAAGGGCTGTCCTGAGAAGACTGCCACTAAGACCAACTGTCCCCAAGGGCTATCCTGTCACCAAGACCAAACTCTGACCAGACAGCAGGGAGTTACTGTGCGAAGGAAGGAGGGTGGCGAGTAGGACGAGAGCACAGAGCTTGGATCTTGCCACTTGACCCCGGGCTCTTGACCTTGGCCAAGTGACTTTGCCACTCCGAGCCTCAGTTTACCCATCTGTAAAAGGGGGGTCATTGCTCCTACAGAGGTGCTGTGAGGGTCAGTGACACAGCACTGGGCATGGCTGGCACTTGTGACTGCTCACCCTGTCTCCATCACGTCCACCTTACCTCCATCTGCCCGTTCTCTGCTGCGTCGTGGAGGGGGGTCCCACCCCAGGAGTCTCTCAGGACAGGGGTGCCCATCAGCAGAAGTCGGTCTACAATGGGCGTGTGGCCACCTCGGGCTGCAAAATGCAGGGCCGTGGCCCCCTCGCTGTCCCGTGCTGTGAGTCCAATGTCGGTGAATGTGACCTGGGGAAGGAGGCGTGGAGGGAGCAGTCGCCCTCTGAGGGAGGGGGCACACAGAGGGGCAGAAGTGCAAGCAGACTCTGGCTGTGCCTCTCAGGGCACAGGGCACAGGGTACAACCTCAGGAAACCTCGGACAGGGCTGGCTCAGCACGTGCGTCCCCATCACCCTGGGGCAGCTGGACCTCCGGGGTCCAGGTGGGGGTGAAGTGAGCGCAGTGGCTTTATTTGGAGACGCCATGGTCCCCGATCTTAAAGCAAATAGCGCAGTAAATGAAATGCCTAGAGCACAGTCAGCAAGTGTTTGCTCGGAAGGAGGGAGAGAAGGAAAGAAGGAAGGAAGCGGGGGAGGGAGGAAGGGACTTCCTTTGGCCCGAGGGTGGCACTGCCTTGCTGGGCATTTGCACTCAGCCTCTTTGCTGGAGCAGCAGGTCTGGCACCTCCCTCCAGGGCCTGGGTTTGAGCCAGGCAGTGAGGTTTGGGACCCCGAACTGCCTGCCACTGGCCACCGCTGGAGTGACTTGAGGCCAGCCCACCTCTGGGGCCTCATCTGCCCTCTAGGGCCCTGTGCTCTGGTCCACAGCACCAGCCAGGTGACAGTCCCTCACACTGACTCGCTGACACCTGTGCAGCTGGGACAGCCACGGGGCCCGGGCCTGCCAGTGGGATGGGGGCTTCTAGGACAGCCTGCTTCCCTGGGAGAGGGTCATGATGTGCCGGCCCTCCGCCTCCGCCTCCTTCCTGCCTTGAATGTGCCTGCTTTCCCCACGGGGAGGCTGCGAGAACAGCAGAGAGGTCACAGCGCTGCCACGTCTGTGAGTGCCTCCCAGCGCGGCCCAGGGCGCTTCTGACTGATCAGCACTCAGAAGGGTCTGTTGGGAAAGCACTAGGAGCTGGAAACACCCAGAGCCAGGGCTGCCTCAGGGTTCCTCCACATCTGGAGTAGCCTCTGGCCCTGAGACCCCAAGGCCTGGCTGCTTCTCCCCAGGATGAGCCGCTCCTGCCTCTGCACGGTCCCAGGAGCTCCGTGGACACCCTGCTGCCTGCCTCCTGGGCCCCCAGCGGTGAGCTGACCCTGTGTATGCAGCCCCCGCTCACCCCAGGGGCCCGGAGCCCAGGCACAGGAGCCACGGGTAGTTTGGGAAGCTGAGATCTGGAGTGAATGGGTCAGACCTGCTGGATCGGGAGGGGAAGACAGCCCGGGTGGGACCCGGGGCCCGAGAGCTTCCTTCGGGAGAGGCCCCTCCGGCAGGAGGAGCTGGAAAGGCGTTGTGGGGTTGGGGAGGTGCACTCACAGGCGGGGCACCGGGAGGGGCTGCAGTCACCACTAAGGGAGACTGGAGGCCAATTAAGGTGGCTTTGGGCCACAGTGGGCAGGCAGGTACCATCCCGAGGACCCTGGGGCCACGGGGAGCAGGCCAGCGCCAGCCCAAGCGTCCGGAGGCATGGTGAGCAGGCGGGACCATCCCAAGGGCCTCAAGGCCGTGGTAAGCAGCGGGTGCCATCCTGAGGGGCCAGGGACCTCTGTTCCTTCACTTGCTCATTGGTTCAGTAAACATCACCTGAGCCTGACCGCATGGCAGGTGTGGGGAAGGCAGCAGGTGGCGAAGTCCTGCACCCACGGGGCTCCTGGCACTTAGACCCTGGTAGGTGGAAACCACTACCAAGGCCAGGAGTCAGACATGCCGTGTGTCCCGGGCTGGTGCTTGGGGGGAGGAAGGCAGGAGTGAGGGTGATCTGGACAGGCGGCTCCCCTGGGAAACCAGCTGGGCAGGGAAGTTCCCAGGGGTACTGGGGGAGCTGTGTGCCAGGCACAAGTATAGCACACGCAGAGGCCCAGGGGCAGGGCCAGCCTGGTTCGCAGGAGAACGAACTGCAGCTGAGAGGGTGGGAGCTGGGGAGACAGGAAGCCCCAGGCGAGCGTGGGCGGTCTGGGCGGGGACAGCTCTCCCTTCTCAGAGAGCCTCCATGACCTTCACTCAGCAACCACAGTCACCTTCCAATACGCCAGTCAGATCCTGCCGCTCCTGGCTCAGAGCCTTCCATGGCTCCCCAGGACCCTCAGGAAAGAGCCCCAGTCCCCCCAGCGCCGCTGCCTGCCTTTCCTGCCCACCCCCAGGCCCCGAGGGCCAGGCTCTCCCGGCCTCTGAATGAGCTGTGCCCTCCTCAGGAAGTGGCTTTGGGCTCCGCCCCTTGTCCAGCCACCTCCTGCCCATCCTCAGCTCTGCCCCCAAGTCCCCTCCTCAGGGCGGGCCTCTCCTGCTCTCAAGCTCCACGGGTCTCTGGCAGCCAGGCAGAGCACCACACACCCCACCTACTCTGCTTTTCTGCTGTAGAGGCAGGAAGTCCCCAGCCCATCCTTGAAGGCACCTCCCCAACCTCAGCCACTCTGCTCTGGGGTCTCAGGTCTTCCTTCCCCAAAGAGACCAGAAGCAGAGAAAGGTGGGGACTGGCCCAGGGATCTGGGGTGGCAGGGCCTGAACAAGCAGCGGGAGGCACTGCCAGTGTGGGCGCAGACTGAGCACCTGGGCCACCACCAACTGTGAGCGTGCCCGGGAGGCCCACCAGGACTTCCAGGGTGATGGGGGCCAGGAGAGCCCCAGGGGAGCCGAGGCAGAGTGCGCTACAGGGGGTCAAAACTTTGAGGCCCAGCCTGGCTGGGTGTGCGGGGTCTCGGGAGCCATGGGCCAGCTCTCCGGATGCCCGCACAGCCCTGTATGTCCCCATTCCCTCTGACGCCACCCCCCCACCCCAGGATCCAGGCTCTGCTTGCCGCAGGCCCACACTCCCTGGACGTCCCCGTCCCACCTCTGGCACCTACTTACCAGCCAGACGACGAGAGAGTAGTGGCCGCGGGCAGCGGCAGCATGCAGGGCGCTCATGCCATCAAGAGCTCGAAGGTGCACGTCAGCGCCACAGTCCTTCACCAGGAACTGCGCCAGGTGCAGGTGGCCCTCCTGGCAGGCCAGGTAGAGAGGGGAGGCGCCACTGTGCGTCCGCCTGTTCACGCCACTGCAGGGAAGGGAGCGTTTGGAGGGCCAGTCCCTGCTCGTGGCTGAGCCCAGCACTCACTGCGTGGATGTCACCGCGACCCGTGTCCCTGCCCGTGACAGCCGAGTTCCCCATGTTCTTTCCAGCTGCTGCTGGGGGGTCTCCTCCCCCAGGCAGCTGGGTAACCCCACTGCCCTATCCTTCTGTCCTTTTCTGGGGATCCTGGGTCCAGGTCAGAAACATGCATCTTCTTAGATCTGGGGGGTCACAGTCTTGGCTTCCAGGTTCTCAGCTGTCCTGGTGGAAGCTCAGGATTGACCCCCGATTCCTGTGCCCTGTGGCAGGCAGTGCCGGGTGCCTGGTGGCTATGGTGACCAGCAGTGAGCTCAGGGCTGCACTGACTGGGCTGGGGTCACAGCAGCGGCGTGGAGGCAGGGCCGGCGTCACTGGGGAGCGCCAACTCTCCGGGCTCGTGCCTGCTGTCCCGCCAAGCCTGCTGACCATGACACCTGTCCCAGATCCTCCACCTCCCAGCCCTTCTCCTCTCAGGAGGGGAGGCTGGGGAGTCATGAGGGATCTCATGAGCACCCCCACACCTGTTCCCCATTTCCAATGGATGAATCTGAGCAACTTGGGGTCCACCCCAGAGGAGAGTCCAGAGGCCTCAGCTGGCAGAGGGTAGACTGAGGCTGGGAGCTGATTTGCCCAGGGGCCTGCACCTGGGTTTGAACCCCGCTTCCCTCGCAAAGTCCCTGCCGGTGCTTGTCCCCTAGCAGCCTCTCCCCGCTTCTCACAAGGGAAAAACGGGACCCTGGTGGCTGTTCCCTGGACTCGGACCACACAGGGATCATCCCCTGCACCTGTAGAGCCCAGGCGTCCACTCCTCATGGGATGTGCCCTAAAGGGCTGCCAGCATGTCATGGTGGCCTTCTCAGGGGAGGGTCCGTGCTTTCTCCAGACTCTGCCAGGCATCCTTGACTGTGTCCGGGTTGGAACAGGCAGGTGTCCAGCGCAGTGGTTGGGAGCAGGCTGTGATGCAGCCAGTGGGTCAGGGGGCACTGGAGAGGGCATGGTCTGGCCAGGGGCAGCCACTTCTTGGCTGCTGCTCAGTGCCAAGTGGCAACTAGGCCGGGGGCACAGGACTATCCCATTTGTGTGTGTGATGTGTGTGGTGTGTGTGCAGTGTGTGTCTTTGGGGTGTGTGTGCTGTGTGGTGTGTGTAGTGGGTGTGTTTGGTGTGTGTGTGCTGTGTGGTGTGTGTATTGTGTGTGTGGTGTGTGTGGTGTATATGTGATGTGGTGTGTGTGATGTATGTGTGGTGTGGGTGTGTGATGTGTGTGTGATGTGTGTGTGTGTTGTATGTGTGGTGTGTGTGTGACATGTGTGGGGGTGAATAACGTGTGGTGTGTGTGGTGTGCATGATGTGTGTGGTGTGGGTTGTATGTGGTGTGTGATGTGTATGTGATGTATGTGTGGTGTATGTGTGGTGTGTGGTGTGTATGTGGTGTATGGTGTGTGGTGTGCGTGGTGTGCTGTGTGTAGTGCGTGTGTGGTGTATGTGATGCAGTGTGTGTGTTGTGTGTGTTGTGTGATGAGGTCTGTGTAGCGTGTGGTGTGTGTGATGTGGTGTGTGTGTGATGGGTGTGTGGTGTGTGGTGTGATGGGTGTGATGTATGTGTGATGTGGTGTGTGTGCGTGGTGTGCCATGTGTGTAGTGTGTGTGGTGTATGTGATGCAGTGTGTGTTGTGTGTGGTGTGTGATGAGGTCTGTGTAGCGTGTGGTGTGTGTGTGATGTGGTGCGTGTGATGTGTGTGTGGTGTGTGCGGGGGTGTGCATGGTGTGTGTGGTGTGTGTGTGGTGTGTTGGTACTGTGTGGTGTATGATGTGTGTGGTGTATGTGGTGTGTGTGTGATGTGTGGTGTGTGTGATGTGTGTGTGGTGTACGTGTGGGGTGTGGGGTGTGTGTGGTGTGTGTGATTTGTGCATGTGTGGTGTATGTGGTGTGTGTGGTGTATGTAGTGTGCGTGTGATGTGTGTGTGATGTGGTGTGGTGTGTGTGGTGTGCGTGTGGGGTGTGTGTGGGGTGTGATGTGTGATGTGGTTGTGTGGTATATGTGTGTGTGATGTGATGTGTGTGTGGTGTGTGCGGGGGGGTGTGCATGGTGTGTGGTGATGTGTGTGTGGTGTGTTGGTGTGTGTGGTGTATGATGTGTGTGGTGTGTGTGGTGTATGTGGTGTGTGTGTGGTGTATGTGGTGTGTGTATGGTGTGTGTGTGATGTGGTGTGGTGTGTGTGATGTGGTGTGTGTGGTGTGCATGTGGGGTGTGTGTGGTGTGATGTGTGGTGTGTGTGTGGTGTGTCGGTGGTGTGGTGTGATGTGTGCGGTGTGTGTGATGTGGTTGTGTGGTGTATGTGTGTGTGATGTGGTGTGTGTGGTGTGTCCGGGGGTTGTGCATGGTGTGTGTGGTGTGTGATGTGTGTGTGGTGTGTTGGTGGTGTGTGTGGTGTATGATGTGTCTGGTGTGATGTGGTGTGTGTGTGGTGTGTGTGATGTGGTGTGTGTGGTGTACGTGTGGGGTGTGTGTAGTGTGTGTGTGGTGTGTCGGTGGTGTGTGTGGTGTGATGTGTGTGGTGTGTGTGATGTGATTGTGTGGTGTATGTGTGTGTGTGATGTGGTGTGTGTGGTGTGTCTGGGGGTTGTGCATGGTGTGTGGTGTGTGATGTGTGTGTGGTGTGTCGGTAGTGTGTGTGGAGTATGATGTGTGTGGTGTGTGTGATGTGTGTGTGTGGTGTATGCAGTGTGTGTGTGTGGTGTATGCGGTGTGTGTGTGATGTGGTGTGGTGTGTGTGTGATGTGGTGTGTGTGATGTGTGTGTGGTGTGTGTGTGATGTGGTGTGGTGTGTGTGATGTGTGTGTGGTGTGTGTGTGATGTGGTGTGGTGTGTGTGATGTGTGTGTGGTGTGTGTGTGATGTGTGTGTGGTGTGTGTGTGATGTGGTGTGGTGTGTGTGTGTGATATGGTGTGTGTGTGATGTGTGTGTGGTGTGTGTGTGATGTGGTGTGGTGTGTGTGTGTGATATGGTGTGTGTGTGATGTGGTGTGGTGTGTGTGATGTGATGTGTGTGTGTGATGTGATGTGGTGTGTGTGATGTGTGTGTGGTGTGTGTGTGATGTGGTGTGGTGTGTGTGATGTGTGTGTGGTGTGTGTGTGATGTGGTGTGGTGTGTGTGTGATATGGTGTGTGTGTGTGTGTGTGTGATGTGGTGTGGTGTGTGTGGTGTGTGATGTGGTGTGGTGTGTGTGATGTGTGTGTGGTGTGTGTGTGATGTGTGTGTGGTGTGTGTGTGATGTGGTGTGGTGTGTGTGATGTGTGTGTGGTGTGTGTGTGGTGTGTGTGTGTGATGTGGTGTGGTGTGTGTGTGTGATATGGTGTGTATGTGTGTGATGTGGTGTGGTGTGTGTGATGTGTGTGTGGTGTGTGTGATGTGTGTGTGGTGTGTGATGTGGTGTGGTGTGTGTGATGTGTGTGTGGTGTGTGATGTGGTGTGGTGTGTGTGATGTGTGTGTGGTGTGTGTGGTGTGTGTGTGTGTGATGTGGTGTGGTGTGTGTGTGTGATATGGTGTGTATGTGTGTGATGTGGTGTGGTGTGTGTGATGTGTGTGTGGTGTGTGTGATGTGTGTGTGGTGTGTGATGTGGTGTGGTGTGTGTGATGTGTGTGTGGTGTGTGATGTGGTGTGGTGTGTGTGATGTGTGTGTGGTGTGTGTGGTGTGTGTGTGTGTGATGTGGTGTGGTGTGTGTGTGTGATATGGTGTGTATGTGTGTGATGTGGTGTGGTGTGTGTGATGTGTGTGTGGTGTGTGTGATGTGTGTGTGGTGTGTGATGTGGTGTGGTGTGTGTGATGTGTGCGTGTGTGGTGTGCGTGTGGTGTGTGTGTGCTTACATATTAACATGAAGTCTCCCGGTTTTCTTTTTTTAAGGCAGGGTCTTGCTCTGTCACCCAGGCTGGAGCGCATTGGCACAATCTCAGCTCACTGTAACCTCCGCCTCCCAGACTCAAGTGATCCTCTCGCCTCAGCCTCCTGAGTAGCTGGGACTACAGGCACTCACCACCATGCCAGGCTAATTTTAAATAAATGTCTTGTAGAGCTGGGGGTCTCACTATGTTGTCCAGGCTGGTCTTGAACCCCTGGGCTCAAGCAGTTCTCCTGCCCAGCCTCCCAAAATGCTCGGATTACAGCCATGAGCCACTGCGCCCGGCCCGTCTCCCGGTTTTCAATGGTGGGGACGTCTCTAAAAGCCGTGTGGGTCTGAGAGACACTGTGGCCAGCCAAGCCTGGGGGTGGTGTGGACACTCCGGGGAAAAGGCACAGAAGCGAATCTCAAAGGCCTTTGCCAAGTGGCCCAGGACGGGCACACCTGGGAATGAGAACCCGATTCACGAGCCAGCTGGTAGGGCCTGTCCTGCAACTAAAGGGGTGTCGGGGAGTGGGGCCGAAATGAGATGCTCCCTTGAAAGGAGAAGAGCTGTGGTCAGAGGTAGGTGGGTCCCTGGGGGACACGCAGCCAAGACAGCAGGAGGCAGAGGGCCTGTTCCTGTGACAACAGTGACCTCTTCTGTGCACGTGAGGACTGGAGGGCGTCCAGGTGGGAGGGAAGCCCTCTACCTCACTGGCCGTCCTGACCCTGGTCCTTGCTGCTCGCCCATCCACCAACTCCAGCAGGGGACAAAGGGCCCTGAAGACGATGATGCCCACGTCCGGCTCAAGGGGTCCCAGTACAGGGACAGAGCAGTGCAGAGGCAACTCCAGCCTCCATGTCCCCAAGGCTACTAGACTGTCCCCACTCCTGTCAGGCATTGGGAGGGTGCCCTCCCAGGTTGCTGCCCACGTCCCCAGCTGTTTCAGGTCCCGAGATGCCCCCAGGCGGGACTGGAGCTGCCCCGGGCATCACAGCCACATCTTCCGTGTTCTCACCACCCCCAGCCATTCTCTAAGCTGAAGCGCTGTCCCGTGTCCCCTCGGGCACATGGCACGGCCCAGCCTGTGGGTAGAGGCCTCACTGCCCTCGGCTCCTGCCAGCTCGCCCCCACTGTGACAGTGTGCCTGCCTGCAGGACTCACCGCAAAGGCCACCAGCCTGTCCTCTCGGCCCCACTCAGTGAAGCCTCCCCTTGGCCAGCTGGCCCCAGGCTACCCCCCAGGCAGGGCTCCAGGCTCCTCACCTGCCATGCGCGGCCGTCAGGAGCTTCAGGCAGGTCAGGTCCCCGCTAACGGCAGCGTGGTGCAGGGGCAGGGCCCCCTCCCGGGTCTCCAGTGTGGCCGAGTGGCCCTCGTGGAGCAGCCACTCCACCAGCACTGGGTGTCCAAAGCGGGCGGCCAGGTGCAGCGGGGAGACACCCGAGGCATCTTGGTCCTACCAAGGCCCAGGCAGGTCAGGAACTAGGGGGCAGACCCTGACCCTTCCCTGCCGGGCAGCCCAGGTGGCAGAGCTGCTGCCCAAGGTGGGCCCCGGCGAGGGCTCACACTGTCCGCAACCCAGCGAAGGGCCTTCCAGCTCCTTCCTCCTTCCCTCTCGTCTCTGCCTACAACACGGAGGGAGGCCCTCCCTGCTGGGACTGAGAGGAGGGCCAGGACTCGGGCAGGTCTTGGGCGGTCACCTCCGGCCATCCTGTCCCCAGTGTGAAGAAGGCCCTTTCCCACTCAGCTAGGTGCCCGCAGCCCCCGCCCACTCTGCTTATGGTCAGAAAGGCTTCCCAGGACACCTGCCTCTGGAATGGTCCCCTGTCCCTGTACCCTCCCGCTGGCCACAGAGCCTCAGGGACAGGCAGCATCCCATCACAGGTGTCACAGGTCCGGCAGACCTGGGCCTTCGAGGGTCCTGTGGTCAGAATGGATCGGCAGAGAAGCACAGCTCCCGCCTGCTGTCCTTGAACTTGGCGGAAGGGCTGACCAGAACAGGAGGCTTGGCCAGGACCCTGGGAATGAGAACCCGATTCACGAGCCAGCTGGTAGGGCCTGTCCTGCAACTAAAGGTGCTCTGGAGAGCTAGGTGGGGGGACCTTCCACTCCCTTGTCTCAGCAGGTCCCGCTGCCCCCACCCCAACTCTAACCTAGGGGCAGCGTCCTAAGGCCGGTCAGGCTTGCTCACCGTCCTCCTGAGAGCTCCACAGGGTTGAGTGACAGCTTTGAGGCCCTCGCCTGCCCGAAGGGCACTGGGCAGGCAGGAGAGGGGAGGGGGCCCCAGGAGAAAGGCTCTGGACAAGATGGCCACCACCAGCGGGCCCCCGCTCCCATCCCCCGGGGCCGGACTCCCAGCTCGAAAGCCCGAAGTCCCACAGTGCTGCTCTAAGGATTCTTCTCTAGACCCTTTGGGGAGCAGCCCCGTGGGCCAGGCCTGAGGAGAGACAGGTGTCCTGACCTCGGCAAGACGCCCCACTGGCAACGAAGCACTCATGGCAGAGGAGGTGATAAGAACATTTTGAGGTGGTGGCCTTGGCACTCAAGGCCTTGCGCTTCGGAAGCATGGAACGGGGACTGAGTCCCCAAGAGAAACAAAAGGCCAGGGCTACGGAGGCCAGGGGCCAGTGCTCTGAGCCTCCTTGCCGCATGCCTCCCTGGTTCCATGCCAGCCAGGTTTGTGGAGGCCAGGCTGCCCCGTCCCCGCTCACCTGCAGACCACAGCCTCCCTCTCGGACCAGCCAGCACAGCTCAGCCAGGCTGCCTGTGGCGGCGGCATCATGCGCTGGGGTGGCGCCGTTGTGGGCCCGCTGGTTGCCAGGCAGCTGGGCCCGCTGCACCAGAAACTTGACGCAGTCCAGGTGGCCAGCCCGGGTGGCGTGGTGAACCAGGCCAGCCCCCAGAGCATCAGTGATGCCCGGGCCCAGGGCGCCAGCCTCCAGCAGCCGCTCCAGTGCCGCCACATCCCCGTCCTTGGCGGCCACAAGTGCCTGCTGCTCCTCCATCCTCTGGCTTGGGCTCTCGGCGGTGACTCACGCACAGGCCGGGGCTTCCTGTTTCAGACGCGGATGAAGCTTGCCGGCTCTGGTTACCTGATAGTCGCCACAGGGCAGATGGGAGGCGGCGGGGCAGGGTGGGGGGGACAGGCCTTGGGGACCTGCCCAAGCCACTCCCACAGTGTGAGAGCGCCAGGTGCCTGGAGCTGGGAGGATGGAGTGCAGGGCACAGGGGAAGGCCTGGACCGGGACAGGCCAGGGCTGGGCATGGCCAGCAGAGAAAGCAGGACGGCATCAGGGCCACCCGGACCTGTCCAGATGGCTGGAACCCACCTCTTCATCTGTGGAGCGAGGGCTGAGGACACGTGCCACCAAGCTTCTCACAGGAGTCCTGAGTGGCCTGGGAGCCAGTTCCCCCAATCCTCATAGAAGCGCAGACCCCCAGCCGCCACCAGCGTGTCTGAAGGGTGCCCAGTAGGCCTATGTTTGGCCGGGTTGACACCCAGAGGTGAGCACCCCACCTCTGGATCCCGGCCCTCCGCCCTGGAGGCTCCCATAAACCTCTGGGGACATGGTGGCTCCACAGGGTCTTCGATGGGCTCAGAACCCTGACGTGGGCAGTCTCAGCCCCTGCCTCAGCCCCCTATCCAACCACACTGACCCAGCCTCTGGGCTGCAGCCCAAGGGGCCCAGGTGCATTTAACCCCTTTCCAGATTGTTCTAGACAATCTGTAGCTTTGGTTTGGGGACATTAGGACCACCACAGCCTCTTCCTGATAGCAGTGGGAAGCTGCAGACGGGGGACCCATTACATCTGTACATTTATAGAGGCTCCCGGAGACGTTACCTCAAGCAGGGTTTCTGGGCTAAGGCGTCATTGTCACACCACAGTGACCCGGGAGCTGCTGCAGCCCCTCCCACCACCACAGGCTCAGTCAGGACCTTCATACCCCAAGCGCAGCGCCCACTGGAGAAACGGCAGGCGGTCCGAGCAGAGCACTGAAATCCTTTATTTGTTCATTTAGTTTCTGGCATGTGTTTCCTCAAAACCATCATGTAGTTTCTTGAACCATGAAACCACACATTAAAAATGTTATTTCACTGAAAGTGACTCCTATGCAAATGCCAGCTTGGGATGTGTGTCCAAATGCCACAGAGCATTTGAGAAAGGAATCCTTTGCAAATAAAATTGAGGTAAAAGCTGAGTCAGGGATGACCCGATTCTCCGCCTCAGGAATGACCTGGGGGCTGTACGAGCACCAGCTCAGCGCGGCTGGAGCTGAACCCTGAGTCCACGACCACAAGGGACCAGACAAGAAGGCCTGGGGACTGCGGCTGGGGAAGCGCGCAGCCTGGAGTGCCGGTGGGCGCAAGAGTCAGGCTGGGGATGCAGGAGGCGTGGTGGGCGCTGAGCGGAGCAGGCCTGGCCGAGGCTGGGTGTCGGCGACCCCCCCATCTGGGCACCGAGGAAGAGCTCAGCAGATCCCTGGTACAATTAGTGCCTGAACAATGTCTTAGTTTATAGTGTTACTACTCAGCGACTTCCTTTATATAATCCTATTAGTTTCTAGTCAGAACAATTAGTGCCTGAAGAATATCTTACTACTCAGTCATTTCCTTTTTTATATATGTAATTATATTTTATAGTCGGAGGAATCTCTAGAGCAGACACGGTGGTGAGCATGATTTAAAGGAAAAACAATTATACCAGGACAATAATTTATGGCCCAGAAGATAGTGCCCCTGACTGAAACGGCATGCGCTACATGGCAGGCTGGCCTAGGCGGCAGCGTTCACTATCGTAAAGATACGATACGTCTGCCATACAGCGGGTGCTGTATGGCAGGCTTGAAGCAAGAGTCACTCCTCCTGAAAAGGAGTTCCAGTACCTTGCGTCCAGTTCTTGTGGAAAGCTGGCCCCTGGCAGGCAATCCTGCCAGCGTCCAAGGGCTTAAAACCCCTCCGGTATAACTGTGCCTTGGTGGCTGTGAACTTTGTCAGCTCTGTTGTTACCGTGCTGGCTCAAAGCATCCTCCCACAGACATCCTTAGAAGTAGCCTGCCCATAGATAAGAGATTATGCGCACCGGCCGCCTCCTCGGTGACCTGACAGGGCTGGGCCCCTTGCTACAGCTCGTGTGATTGTTTTGACCCTATCACTATCCTTCAGATCACCTCATTCACTACCCTGCCCCCAAACTATACCCAATAAATAGATGCTTCTGGATGTTCGGGGCCTCGCCTGTCTCCGCTTACAGGTGGCGTGCCCCACCCCCAAGCCCAGCTGCGCTTTGTCCTTCTGTGTCCTGTCTCTTTATTTCTCAGATCCTGCGCCTCAGCACAGCAACAGGGGACACCCCGTGACCCTGTAGGACTTGACCCTACAGCTGGGTCCACTGTGGCCGAGGCCAGAGGAGCAGGGCTGGTGGAGGCAGCCTCTGGAAAGTGCCTGAGAAGTGACTGCTCTGGAAAGGCGCACGTGAGAAGCCACGATCAAAGCAAAACAATCAGGTTTCCTATTTTCATGATAGCATTTGGCTGACAATGAGTTATAAATACTTGGATTCTACCTTCTAGATAAAAACACGACGTTCCAGGAAACGGCACTCACGACAGGCTTGCCCCGTTCCCAGAGGAGAGGGTGGATGAAGCTGGTGTTTCCACATCACCACTGAAGGACGGGCCTGTGTGAGTTCTGCAGTGGGCGGTCCTATGCTGTGGGCGGTCCTATGCTGTGGGTGGTCCCATGTGGGCACTGGTGTCCTGGGCCCTGTGAGCTCTGCAGGGGTCCAGGGAAGGAAGCCGGGGGGTGCACACTCCCCTGCAGGCGCTCCAGGACCGAATGCAGAAGGGGGCATGAGACAGTCATCCTGGCACAGCCCATAGGAGGGAGCCTGTGCCCTGCGATGGGCTCCCTAGGAGCAGGCAGGGAGGGCACCCAGTGCTAGGCCTGGTCCTCCAGCTGCGCCACTGCCTGCTTCAGGTCCTGCACGACGAGGTCCACCTCGGCCCTGGTGGTGCTTCGGCCCACGCTGAGCCGGAGCGCGTTCCTGGCCACATCGAAGGGGACGCCAGAGTTCAGCAGCACTGGGGATGGCCTGGGGATGGCAGAAACTGCGCTGCTGCTGAGGGCACAGGGAAGAGGCACAGCTCCTGCTGCTCTGGGCCACTCCCCAGTGGGCTGTGCCCACCCAGATGCCCGCCTCCCCGCCAGACACCCCCCTCCTGCTGAACTACCCAGACCAAGCACACCCCTAAGGCTACCTGCATCAAGGTCCGGCTCAAAGTCACCCCCTACCCCGTCCTCCCTGTGGAGTTCTCTCGCACTTGGCACCCCCAGGCGACGCTACCCCTCCTGCGCTGAGCACCGGGGCCCAGGAGTGCTCCTGTCCTTGAGGGGTGTGAGTTCTTGGAGAACACTCATGCTGCCACAGACAGTGCCTCACCCGCGGGGCCCGCCTGAGCCACTTGGTAACTTCATGGCATCTGGCACGGGGCTTTGCAGACACTAGGGACCCAACCAGTATCTAGCCACGGAACAGATAACCGCGTTGAAGTGTCCTGAAGCAGGGCTGTCCGGGGTTCCAGGTGTGGGCTCTGTTGAGGGGCCTGCCCTCATCACACCCTGCCTCCCCCACCCTGCACTGCCCCTCCTGCCGCAGGGCACTGACACCCCCCAGGGCCCCATCTTGCCCCTTTTTCCCCAGAGCTGGGCCCTCTGCTTTCTCACTCCAGGCGCTCCTGCACAGTCCTGCCACCCTGACCCTGATGACCACGTGCTGCTGGCCACAGTTCTGCTCTCTCCCTGGATCCCTGAGCGTTCCTCCCGCGTCCACTTCAACCTCCCACAGGGGCCTCACATTTTTAGCAGGCCAGACCCAGAACTGCTTCTCCCCTGCTGCCAGCAGGCCGCTGCTTGGGCACCCCATGGCCTCTGCCTGGCCCAGGCCACCCACTCAGCTGGGCCCCAGTATCCCAGAATCTCTGCTGTATCTTGCAGATGGCTGATCTGACACCTGAGTCTCACATGATGGCCCTCAGGACTCCCACTTCCTGGAGGTTCCGGTGAGCACTGACAGTCGGGCCATCCCTGCTCTGGTCCTCTCCAGCCCACCCTAGTCCCCCCCAGCCCCTGCCACACTGCCCCTCCAGGTCCTGCTGCCCCTCCAGGTCCTGCTGCCCCTCCAGGCCCTGCTGGCCCTGCCTTCAGAACGGAGCAAGAGAAGCCCCCTTCTCCTAGGAAGCCCTCCCTCTGCCCTGCTAGGGTCCAGGTAGGGCTGGCCTTCACCAGCCAGAGCGCAGCCCAGTGGCCATATCCTGACGCCTGCCCACCACAGCCAGTGCCCAGAGCACCGCTGTACCCTGAACTGGGTTTGTGAAGAGCACTTACTGGTCCCCGTGGTCCGAGTGGCACGCAGCCCCCACACTGGCCATCAGCACTCGGCACTGTGCGAGCACCATGCGTCCTGTGGAGACAGAGCACATGCCCCTGAGATGGGGCTCCCGCCGGGCCACCCTTCTCTCCCTTCCTGGGGTCCTGCTGGGCGCAGACTGCTTCCCTCCCTCCAGGCCACCTGGTGGAATTCCGGCGCTGCCAGAAGCTGGGGAGAGAGCTCACAGCAGGAGCCGACCAAAATGCTTCCTCTTTCTTTCTCCCCTGGCCCCAGACACACAGACACTATTCTGCCTCACAAAGCTGGCCTTTAAGACGGCGCCTGTAATCAACTGCCTGCAAAGACACCTGGAGTCCTGACCTGCTCCTTCCTTATGAGCTTGCAGGCCTGGCAATGTCACATCGACAGCTGCGCTCTGGAAGATAGACACGTCAGAGTTCTATGAAGCCGGAAGGCATTTCCCCCTTCTTTCACAAGCACAGAGATTAATGACTGTCGACCTAAGTAAAATGAGAATTTCGGCCAGGTGCAGTGGCTTACACCTGTAATCCCAGCACTTTAGGTAGGATTGCTTGAGCCCAGGAGTTTGAGACCAGCCTGGGCAACACAGGGAAACCCCATCACTACACAATTTAAAAAAAAAAAAAAAATTAGCCATGGCCAGGTGCAGTGGATCACAC